TATTTGTCGCGCTTTGCTAAGTATAAATTTTGTTCGTATACTACTTTATTATATTTTTATACTTGTTTTTTATTATTTTTCTTTTTTAACATATTCTCTGTTACATTATATTCCTTATTTTATCTCTCCCTGTCTCTTTTGCAGTGTGAAATCATCTTTTGTCTGTGATAGAGTATCAAATATAAGATCAATTGAAAGCAAATGCTACAGTCTCTTTTCTCTCTCTATACATATGGAAAAGATATTAGAATATTGCCAGTTCAAATAACACTCTTTCTTCGTAATTTATAAGGGTTGAATATGCTTAAATATATAAATGAATATGTTGAATATGAGGATGCAATAGAAATAGAGAAATGTTAATTTTTCAATAAATTTATTTTCTTTTTATAAATTAGAGAAATATAAAAGAAAGAGAAGAAGGTAATAAAATCAATGATAAGATGGAGAAAATATTTTAAAAAATATTATAACAAAAATTTATTATAAAAATAGTATACCCTATGGAAATGTGGGTTTAGAACACCAAAATTAGAAGTGAAAGTGAAGTAAATGTGCATATCTCCTTTAGATATATATTATGTTTCCATAATTATAGGACATTTAATAATCTTTAAAAAATATAAAAAAACAGACACGTGTATATATATATTGCCGGAATAATATCTTCTTCTTGTGATTTCGTCTTTTGTTCAACTTCATTCGAACCCCATGCCATTAAACTTTTAAAAATAAAAAAGAATTACGATGAAAATAAATTCTTTAAATAAAGATACATATAATAAGTTTATATACATACATATAAATACACACACATATATATATAAACTAATGCAATATATTGGATTAAGTGCTCAATTGTTCAAGGAATATTAATTGTACGTACGTACGTTTAATCTTTACGACGTTTTCTGTCTTATTTCATTCCCTTATCTCTTCTACCCTTCTTCCCCATTTAAAGCTTATGAGAATCTCCTTGAATATAAAAAACAAAACTGATGCAACATGATAGGATGGGAATCTTGTTGAACTAGTGACAAAGATGCTCTTATGCATTATTGGTGGGGTATAAACAAAGATGCTTGCATGCTTTATATATTGTTGTCCATGCATGGTTTGATCATCTCATGCTTTGCTAGTGTTGTGGACACGCTGAATCATGCATGACTTATTTCTTATTTGCTTGAGTCCACACAAAATTCAGTTAATTAGGAAGAGAGGGTTGAAAGAAATGTAAAATTACGATTGCAAAAGAGAATCACACCAAGTTGTTTACTTCCTCAAACTATCATTTTATTTAAATTAATAAATAAATTATACTTTACATTCCTGTAGTTTTACACTGTTCAACTTATCTCTCTTATACTTTTTCATCACTAAACTTCTTATACCTTTTTGTATCACTAAACTTTTATTCATATCTTTGCTTAATTTAGTCACAAGTTTAGGGCGTTTAAACTGCAATTGTAGTTTTTTTTTTTACTTTAACTTAAACTTTAAGGAATAATGAAACAAGAAAAAGGTATAGAAAGTAAGTAAAGGAAATGGGAAATATAATTTAGCCCAAAAACATAAAATTCAAATGGTTGAAATCATGATTTTTAATCCAACTTAATATTCGACATCAGTTACTCAGAAATATTCTTTTTATCTAAACCTTAGCAAGTGTAATGGATATGAGAATTAGAGCCATGTTTCACCAGTGAGATATGGATTAAAGTTCCCTTGAAGATGAATAAAATTTAAGTTGTAGAACTCATGATTTGTAGTCCATTCAAAGTAGCCATGTTTAACCATTTACATGGATATTGAAACTTGGTTACCGCATCAAATTTTGCACCGTGTCCACCCATATAGATCATATGAAGATAACGGTAGAGCACATACAAAATTTGGATACTTCACCATTACAACACAAAGCTCTCGCTCCAGTGTCATAATTATTAATTACCACAACATTATAATTGCTGGGGTGATGAGATTTTGAGTAAGGAAGTAAGAGATAGAAAGAAAAAAAGTGAATAAAAATAAGGCATAAAAAAAAGGTGTAAAAATATTATTATTACATGGTACATGGATCAGACAAGCCCCACTCAAAGTCATATATAAAATGAAGCATTTATTTTGTTATTTCCATATATATATATATATATATATATATATATATATATATATATTATGTTTGAGAAGTGGATCAAAGCTCCTGAAACGTGGGTAGAATTAAGTAAGGTCTAGTATCCAATCCTAGCACCAGTGTTAAACTTGGCATTTGTGAAATTCTGTTTTCCTGAACCTGAGTTGTTGAGTGACCCTTTAGTCCCATTGTTACGATTACAAGGTATGCGACTACCCGTAGCAACTTGCGCACCCGTGTTGAACTCTGCACCGTCACCAAATATTTGTTCCCCACTTGTTCCCGAGTTGTTAAAGGAGTCCTCAGTGCCATTGTTGCCACTGAAACCAAAGAGGTTGCTAAAGAAGCCAGACATGGTTTTCCTACGAAGTATGGATCCTAACTTCCCTCAAAATTTGATTTCTTGATTTGTGTTATTTTGGGGGTGCCTTGATGGGTTGCTGTTAACTGAGTCTGCTTTTATAGATAAGGACATGCCATGTTTCCTTCACACAAGCTTGAACTTCAATTCTCATCGACTTGTCCTATGTATGTAACCATGATAATGTCACATGTGAAAACAATACAAAAAATATATTCCATGCAAAAGAGAAATTAATTAACATATTGTAAAGAGACACGTATTCCATTGCATTTGGAGTACACTTTGGTTCGGATTCATATCTCTTGGATAAAATAAAAGGAAAAATCTTTTTTTTTTTGGTGGGTAGAAGGGAAATCACAGTAAACGAAGAAGCATTTGTTCGCTTTGCAAAGGATGAATATTATTCGTGTACCAATTAGAGAATCAAGCATACGATAAGATCAATTGACAGCAAATGCAACATTCTATTTCATATATAATATATAGAAATTGAAGATATTGGAATGCTTGAATGATCTCTTTCTGTGAAGTTAGAAATTAACCGTGCCCGCTTTTAAATTTAATTTATCAGTAAACTAGGTGCGTAGCGTGTTTAAATAATTAACTTATTTTAAAAAAATTAAATATTTTTATAATTTTAAGAATTTTTTAAACTATTTTTTTTTCCATCCATGCACTGGTAAGAGTTTGCTTCTCTTTTTGAAATATAGACTTTATCGCAATGACCCTAGTTTTCCAGCAACAGTTTAACCGTATCCCAAGCGTATTCTGTATGAATGTAATGTGAAGGCTTAATTTTGAGAGGTTCAAAGATTTTCAAAGATAGAAGGGACTAGTTTTGGAAAGCAATACTGATCTTCGAATTGAAAAATTTTCCCTATCTGTCTAAATTCATTCTGATGAGGTGTACAAGTTTAAATGTGAAAGTGATAGCCCATTTAGTAAGACTTATTGTGGTTAGTGTCCAAATTAGTAGGGTTCATAAACGTAGCAACTTCTTATATAAGAAGAGGTGTGATGTGTGAATTGTGATCCCTTGAGACGCATGTACCACATGTGAAGTTGTGGGCTAAATGTTTTTAGTTAAGAAATTAATTAACTTTCAATTTGGGTCCTATTTGAGATGAACAAAAATATAATACATTCAAGATTTACAGACAAACTGACACAAAAAAATAAAAAAAATTGAATTTTGTAATTTTCAAGAGAAGTGTCTAACACGACTAGAGAGAGGAATGTGAGTAATAAATTTTTAATTACTAGTTAAAATTTATTAAAAATTAAAAAAACATTAATTTAAGAATGTAAAAGAATATGCCTGATATAATTTATAGAAGGTATGTGTGAAAAATAAGGTCGTGAGTTAGGTAGGTAGCTAAGAATGCGACACTAGCTTTGAATTTGTCTTTTGTTGTCCTGCGAGCTATGTAGAGTGGATACACATTGTTCAATTAAATTCAGTAAAAAGTGAAAAAGTGAGGAAGAAAAGGATTGCAAGCATTGTTTTAGCGTTAAGGCGAGAAAAGATTTCAAATAAAAAAAATGTTTGTAGTATAATTTATTTTTAAAAAGTAATGCATGTATAACAAAAAAAATTTAAATTATATTAATGTTTTCTATCAACATATAATTAAGTATTTCTAAATTATCATTAAAATAATATCTTATAATATTTGAAATCTTATCAACATATATTAATTTTTCATAATTAATAAACTTAATTTTAATTATTTTAAACTATATTTTTACAAGAATGAGAAACTCTCGCAAGACAACATCGATATAATCCATCTTCTATCGTTTTTGTCCCATTATTATATTTAGAGCTTATTTGTTTTGCCATTCTGAACTTTGTTGAGTTATGATCATTAATTTTTGTTTAAGCTTTAATTTCTCAGACGGAAACTGTTAAACATGCTAATTATTTATATTATAAAATCCATTTCAATTTAAATTACCTACATATAGAAATTCACTCAAATTTAGTGAATTAGGGACTTAAAATTTTCCTATTAAAAAGATTGTTATCCTTAATTTTTGCTATTAAAGAATAATTAATAATAGAATTTCTATCAATTATGAGGAGAATTCATTTGCAATTTTATTTTTTATAACGAGCTATCAAGTCCTATATCAAACTAATTTATATTTTAATTTCGTTCATAGTATCTTATTTTAAAATGACAGTGAATTTTAGTAACATTACCTTTGTAAAGTGCTTCAACAACAGTGCTAAAACATAGGGCATTTGGTCTAGTGGTATGATTCTCGCTTAGGGTGCGAGAGGTCCCGAGTTCAATTCTCGGAATGCCCCAGATAAGTAAATTTTTTTTAACAATCTCTATTTTATTTCATCACTTGAGGGAAATACAGAGAGATAAACTTCATCAAATAAACATCTTACACTTTAATAACATCATAATGGGCTTTGGACACATCAAATAACCATAAAAGTAAATCTAAGTCTGATCTAATTAAGATATCTCTCTCCAGTTTATTCCACTATGCATACTCGCAGCTGCCATAACCTGTAGATCAAATTAAAACAGAAGAAAATGAACACTTAATAATCGCATATAATATGGTATAGTAGCCTTATATTCATTCATAGCACATTAATAACTTACTTGGGTCCTTAGAAACCAAGAGGCCAGAGCCGAAGAAGTTGCAGTTCCAAGTATTCCTTCCTTCCATTGCATAGTACTGATTCATGACAGCAGAGGCATGGTGCATCAATTTGTTGGGCTCATAGCAGGAGCCACCCGGTTGGATCAGCTTGCAATCACTCAATATATTGCAAGCATATTCAATGTTATTTTTCAGTACAGTATCATTTGATAAAGGATTTGCTACACACCACTTATCCTTAGCTATCTGTATTCCATTACCAAATTAACACAAAATGTTAGCTTTTATGATTTTTTAATAGAATATACTTAAATATAGACGATGAAATTTTACCAATCCATTAGCAAACTTCAAATGCCCTCCTGCACAAGTCAATCCAAAGTGTATCAAATAATGACACATTAGATATATGGCTTTAATTTTGTATCATACTAGCAAAATAGAACTCAATATATGAAAGGATCAGTATAAATTTATGAAATTTTAAGCATTTTGGCTATTGGAATTTAGACCAAACGAAAAAGAAAAACCATATAACCATATTATAGAGATAAACTGTCTATGGAAATTACTGGACATTCTAAACAGATTTAATACACATAAAAGAGAAATTTAGATGTAAAATAGACCTATACACAAAATCTAGCAAACACAACATTAAAAAAAAAAAAAACATAAAGTGAATTAATTACCCGAGTTGAAAGAGAGGAGCAGATGAAAAAGAACAAGAAAGAGAAGTGACCCAGTTGATTTGAACATGATGTGATTAGCCAGGAAATTGTAAAAAACGTAATGGTGTTATTTTCTCTATAGAAAATGTTGCTGCTTGAATGTGGAATGAGAGGTCATGGTATATATAGAAGTGTATGTGATAGTGATTGCCACGGAATAGATTTCACCTATCAGTTTTAAACCAATAATTGACCCATTAAGTAAAAAACAAAGAGTTGAAGCGGTTTAAATATAATAAAAGAATGGTATTTACAAGTAACAACTATTTTGGCAATCACTGTCCAATCATCTTCTCCCACACTTACTTTATTCGAAGATGAAACGGTAGCTAGAGGTTCATTGGTTTGGTTATTTTGGGGTCAAATTAATCCTTCATCCTCTCTCATCTTTCTATGTTCTAAATTTTGCCTTACGAAATATGAAAATGGTGTGCTTGTTTTCTCATGTAGAAAGATTATTTAGGAAAGAAAATGGGACATAATTTTAACATTGTTAATGGCCAAAAGAAACCAAAGATGTGATTTGTCTCTCTTATTTTGTTAATATCATTTAGCAAGTTGTATTTGAATGAAGACTATACAAATTAAAACGAGCAAACTTTTAATTTCTCTTGTTACGTTCTAATTACAAAAATGCGTTTTTATTTGTGAGCTAATTGACACATTTCTAAAGAATATTTATGGTATAATTTTTTTTTTCAATTTTAAAAGTTGTTGGCCTATACATATATGCTAATATCACTGTAAATCTTCATTAAAACCAGTAATTTGTCCTGAATTAGAAATGAGAATTTTGCTCACGACAAACTTTATCATACCTAAAATATTTTAAAAAAATGTGCTTTATAAAGAAAAAACGATATTGAACCTTCAAGTTTTGGTGGCATCTTCAGAAAAGGTAGTACAGGAAGATACGTATGCATATCCTTTTTCTGTATAAATACTTGGAAAGGAAAAGATTAAACCGCAAGACAAATTCTATAAATATATATATTTGATTATTTATGATGATGCTTATTATCAAATCGTTTCCTTCACGTTCATGTATTTGATTTTCCCTATCTTCATATTCCTTTTTTCTAATTTGCTTATCAATAAATAGGAATATATATTCTAACATTTGCTCTGAAGGGTAAAAAAATCATAACTCATGGCTACTTCTTCAAACATATGCTTTTAATACGTCCTTATCAATGAATCAATCGCTCCGCGTGTTGATATCCGTACATTTTCAAGGTGTTCATAGAGAAACCATGGTAAAGAAGTGGATCTGCTTCTATTTAATTAATAATATTTTTTAAAAATATTTTTCACATTTAATTTTTTTTTTATTTGACCCATTTGTTCAAGTTTAAGTTGGATAAAATTATCAAATACAATAACACACTTTGCAACTTTTTTAACTTAGAATTATTTGTTAAATTTAAATAATCTCGCATTCTATTATAGTTGATCTGTTCATTTAATAGCAACTTTAAAATACGTTGAATCTTATCTTATTTCATCTATGTTTCATTGATTTCTATCGTGTAAGTTACCTCTCAATCTTATTTCATCTATGTATTTATTTGTTTTTGAAGAATTCAAATATTGAATGTTTTATCTTTTAAATTAAATTTATATTTTGGATCAACCATTCATGATCACGGGACGTGTCACTATCTACTACCTGATCAATTAAAATTGTACTTAATGCGCAGATAGGAGGAAAGGATTTTTTTCAAAATTTATAGATAGAAAAATATTTTAAAGTAATTATTGGTTTTTTTTAATAATTATTGGTTGATTTTAAACTTATATCATTTTTATTCATAAATCAAATATTTTATTAATAATTAAAATACAAATGCTTACTATCATGCAAAAAAAAAAATTTTGAAAAAAACATTTTATACTTTTTTTTAAATTGACAATTATGATTATTTTAATATTTTAAAAATTAAAAAATATTTATATCTTTTTAATATAAATATTAACTTCCACTATCTATTATACATATTTAATATAATATTAACATTCATGATTATTTCATATATGAAAGATATAAAATGCCCTTTTTAATCTTTAAGACATCATAGAAATTACTTAAAATAAATTATATAAAGAATATGATAATTAAAATAAATATTCAAGATTCTTTAAGTTATATTTTATTATAAATTTATTAAATTAGTAATATTCTTGTGATAAAAGAAAATTTCATTAAAATAATAAAAATAAAAGTGAAAAACAATCTATAATAACCATAAGTTAAAACATTGCTTCAAGTAATGTTAAAAAATATTATAAGTGAACAATTAGATAAACTCGTTTATCAAACACGTTTATTATAATAAAATAAACTAGTTTTAAATAAATTAAAAGTTTGTTAATATGTCTTGCTAACATATCTCAAAAAAATGAAAAATGGCAGAATATGAAGGCATGCAACTTGATAAATGGTGGAGGGAGTGATAGGTCAAATAAGACTATTATTTTTATCCCACTCTATCCTTGTCGGGAGCCATACACACAGTCAATGGTCGACTCACGCCTCGCTCTTATTTTTAAGGATAAACTATCATTATAATTATTAATTAAATTTAATGATTCAATTTTCCACAATTTTATTATTTATTATATACCTACAATTTTAAATTATCAAAGATGATATAAATTTTTAGTAATTCAACAATTAAAATCTCAAGAATTAAATTTGAATTGATAAGTATAATAATTACTATTATTTCTTTGAAATAGGCCTCTGATCTTAAAAGAGCAAGTGAATCCACCATCGACTGTGTGTACTTAGCGCCCAACAAAGAAAGAGTGGGATGAGAATAATTGGTAGTTTGGCAGCATTGAAGCCATGGAAATGAAGAGAAAGAGAGGGTAAAGCTATTTTCAATGTCTGTAAGTGAGCTAAATCCACGTCCCAATCCAATCTACAAGATTCACAACCACATTTGAAATCTTTTCGGCCATTAATTTGCGCAACTTGGTGCTATTTTGTCATTATTTATCAGTATCACAACTTGTTCCATGTTTTCTTGTAATATTATTGTACCTTTCCGCAAGCCGCGTTTGGCCAAACCCCATGTTCACTTTTGCTTCTCTTTGCCGACTGGTATCAATTTAATATTATTAATTTAATAAATAACAAATAATATATTATCGAGCACTAAAATCAATTAACAGTAATTATATCCCCTTAAATTGTGATCTTAAGTTTTAAGTTATATTAAATACACTCGTAATGCTTAGTGAATATATATTTTTATATTCCTAATCGCTAAATGTTAAACTGATTTCTGCAAGGCGTTGAGAAACGAATTATTTGTTTATTTATTTATTTTATTCTTGTTTATGAGTTCTATAGATATAGCTATAATATATGTCTATCTTCCATGTGTCATTCTCTCTCTCTTAAACCTTTGTCTTTGCAGATACATATCCATTTTTGTCGTTGCATGTTCTATGTAGTGCATCAATCAGTAGAAGATGCAACCGGTTTGGTTATACCGGGATGACCTCACAAGTCAAATTTAAGATATTCAATCCTTGTCCAAACAATCACGGTATTTGTCCTAAGTAACATAAATTCCTGCTAATGATTTGACTTTGCAGCATGTCATGTGAACACACACTGTCACAAATATGGGTCATGTCTTTTGCGATTACTATCATTTATCAGGGAGTAATGGAACATTGTATTGTATATAAAGGCTTCATTCAATTAAGCTTTTAGACAAAAATTGCAACTCGTTATTCTCTAGTATATTCCATAGTGATGTTATTTCTAAAGATTAGTTTGACTATAGTCATAGTCTTCTCCCTTGCATCCTTAGCTTCATATGCTGAAACAAAGGTGGATGTTGAAATTGAAGCTTTGAAAGCTTTCAAAAACTCCATCACCCATGACCCAAATGGGGCTCTTGCAGATTGGGTTGACAGACACCCTCATTGCAACTGGTCTGGCATTGCATGTGACTCATCTTTAAATCACGTCACTTCAATTTCTCTGGTTAGTCTTCAGCTCCAAGGGGTGATTTCACCATTCCTTGGAAACATTTCAGGCCTTCAGATTCTTGATTTAACTTCAAATTCATTCACTGGTCACATTCCTCCTCAGCTAAGTTTTTGCACTCAACTTTCTCAACTAATTTTTTTTGACAATTCTCTCTCAGGCACAATCCCACCTGAACTAGGAAACCTCAAAAAACTGCAGTACTTGGATTTAGGTAATAACGGCTTGAATGGAAGCCTCCCTGACAGCATATTCAACTGCACTTCTTTGTTGGGTATTGCTTTTAATTCCAACAACCTCACTGGCATAATCCCATCAAACATAGGGAATCTAGTTAATGTTACACAGATTGTAGGATTTGGAAATAACTTGGTGGGGTCTATACCTCTTTCCATAGGTCAGTTGGGAGCTTTGCAATCTATTGATTTTAGCCAAAACAAGTTATCAGGTGTAATACCTCAAGAGATTGGAAATCTCACAAATTTAGTATACCTTCTATTGTTTCAAAATTCCATGACTGGGAAAATCCCTTCTGAGATTGCCAAGTGTAGCCAACTTTTGCACCTTGATTTATATAAAAATGAGTTTATTGGTAGTATTCCTCCAGAGCTAGGAAGTTTAGTTCAGTTAGAGACATTGAGGTTATATCACAATAACTTGAATTCCACGATTCCATCTTCCATATTCCAGTTGAAATCACTAACACATTTAGAACTCTCAGAGAATAACTTAGAGGGAACAATATCTTCTGAGATTGGATATCTGAGTTCCTTACAATATCTAACCCTGCATGTAAATAAGTTTACTGGGAAGATCCCTTCATCAATAACAAAGCTGACAAACTTGACATATCTGTCAATGAGCCAGAATCTCCTTTCAGGTGAACTTCCTTCAAACTTGGGTGTGTTTCAAAATTTGAAGTTTCTTGTTTTGAGCTCCAACTTTTTTCATGGATCCATTCCCCCTAGCATTGCCAATTGTACTAGTCTGGTAAATGTGAGTTTATCTTTAAATGCTTTAACTGGGAAAATTCCTGAGGGATTTTCAAGGATGCCCAATCTTACTTTCCTGTCTCTTGCATCCAATAAAATGACGGGGGAAATCCCAGATGACCTCTACAACTGCTCAAATCTTAGAAGTCTAAGTTTGGCAGAGAACAACTTCAGTGGATTGATAAAATCTGGTATCAAGAACCTGTCCAAACTCCTACGTTTGCTGCTGAATGTGAATTCTTTCATGGGACCAATTCCACCAGAGATTGGAAACTTGAATCAACTCATCACTTTATCACTTTCTGAGAATAAGTTTTCAGGTCAAATTCCACCTGAACTATCCAAACTTTCTCTCCTTCAAGGGCTATCTCTCCATGAAAATGAATTAGAAGGAACCATACCTGATAAACTCTCGGAATTACAACAACTAACCAAACTTTTGCTGCATCAAAACAAGTTGGTTGGTCAAATACCCGATTCTATCTCAAAGCTTGAGATGCTTTCATACTTAGACCTTCATGGCAACAAACTTAATGGGTCCATTCCAAGGAGCATGGGGAAGCTTAATCAGCTTTTAGTCTTGGATCTCTCTCACAACCAATTCATAGGATCAATTCCTGGAGATGTCATTGCAGACTTCAAAGATATGCAGATGTATCTTAACCTTTCTTACAACCACTTTGATGGAGATGTTCCAACTGAGTTGGGCATGTTGGAAATAGTACAAGCCATTGATATTTCAAACAATAATCTTTCAGGTTTCATTCCCAAAACACTTACTGAGTGCAGAAATTTGTTCAATCTTGATTTTTCAGCAAACAATATTTCAGGTCCTATTCCTGCAGAAGCTTTTAGTCACATGAGCTTGATTGAAAGCTTAAACCTCTCAAGAAATCATTTAGAAGGTGAAATCCCTGCAATATTGGCAGAGCTTGATCATCTTAGTTCCCTTGATCTTTCTCAGAATGACTTGAAGGGAACTATTCCTGAGGGCTTTGCCAATCTTTCCAATCTGGTACATCTCAACCTTTCCTTCAATCAACTTGAAGGTCCTGTACCTAAGACAGGATTATTTGCACACATTAATGCATCTAGTATGATGGGAAACCAGGATCTTTGTGGGGCAAAATTCCTACAGCCATGCAGAGAGACAAAACATTCACTATCCAAGAAGAGCATATCTATTATTGCTGCACTTGGATCTTTCGCTATACTTCTATTTCTGGTGTTAGTGATTCTAATTCTCAATCGAGGTACCAAACTCTGCAAATCTAAAGAATGTGACATTGGTGTGAATCATGAACCAGACTACAGTTCAGCATTAGCTCTTAAAAGGTTCAATCCAAAAGACTTGGAAAATGCCACAGGTTTTTTCAGTTCAGACAACATCATTGGCGCTAGCAGTTTGAGCACAGTTTACAAGGGTCAATTTGAAGATGGCCAAATTGTAGCCATAAAAAAATTGAATTTGAACCAATTCTCTGCAAATACTGACAAGATCTTCAAGCGAGAAGCCAACACCTTAAGCCAGCTGAGACATAGGAATTTGGTCAAGGTACTTGGATATGCCTGGGAAAGTGGGAAAATGAAGGCTTTAGTTCTAGAGTACATGGAGAATGGGAATTTGGATAGCATCATACATGGCAAAGCGATAGATCAGCGTGTGACCTCTGAGTGGACATTATCTGAAAGACTCCGAGTTTTCATTTCTATTGCTAGTGGATTGGATTACTTGCACTCTGGTTATGATTTTCCCATTGTACACTGTGATTTAAAGCCTTCTAACATTCTTTTGGACAGAGAGTGGGAAGCTCATGTGAGTGATTTTGGGACTGCTCGAATACTTGGTCTTCATCTGCAGGATGGTAGTACCCTCAGCTCGTCAGCAGCTTTGCAAGGCACAATTGGTTATATGGCACCAGGTATAAGCCATTTCTATTTTGCTAATATCTTATATTTAATGTATAATATATTTTCATCATAATTAAGTTTAAGTGGACTTGCAATCTAAATGAATAATTTAGTTCTTTCCAAATTTTAGTAAGTAAATCTTGCACCTGAGATTGTTCTAATCAGCGAAAGTAGAATCAAGAGTTCAAGACTTGAACGTGTGTTAGTGTTCTATTTGCTGTTTTTGTGCAATGCATGTGACCATATTAGATCTTTCTATTCCGAGAAAGTAGCATCATTAAGACTTGCATGATTACAAAACTTTTTATTTGTGGCTTGAAAACAAAAATTTCAGTGATCCACGCCACAGCTATTCCCCGGCCTTTATCTTGAACAATTAGATATTATATATTTTAAGATGAAAGAAGCAGTGGTTACGATTCACACTGGATCAGTATTAATTGATTATACCAAACATGAAGTAGAATTGCTGTGACTGCATTAGCATATTCAGCATATCCCAAACACTGAATATAATTTCCTTTAGTTTCACCCAACGTGAGTTTACTGTACAGAGCTTCCACCAGGTTTTCCTACTGGTGACTTGAATAAATTGACATGCGAGAATAGACTGAAACGTGTGTTAGTAGATTCACAGCAGCAAGGAGAACACTGCCCCTTTAAATAATAAAGATAATATATGTTTTCCCATCTCCAAACGTATGTGCGCAAAGAGATAGCTAATTGTTTGCTTATTATAACCTAGTTCTTCTTTTAATATCAAATATATCTCTCTTTGTTTCCAATTCTCTTAGGTTATTAACTTTGTAGAATCAAATGTTTTGATAATTTTCACTATCTAAACAACATGTTTCCGTGTTCTTATCAGAATTTGCCTACATGAGGAAAGTAACGACTAAAGCGGATGTGTTCAGCTTTGGTATCATAGTAATGGAGTTTCTAACAAAAAGAAGGCCAACAGGGCTATCAGAAGAGGATGGCTTGCCAATCAGTTTGCATGAAGTAGTGGCAAAAGCCCTTGCCAATGGAATGGAACAGCTTGTCACTATTGTGGACCCTATGTTGACCAGGAATGTTACAAAAGACCATGTTGAAGTATTGGCAGAGCTCTTTAAGCTATCCTTGTGTTGCACCCTCCCTGATCCTGAACATCGACCCAATATGAATGAAGTGTTATCTGCCCTTGTGAAGCTTCAAACAACAAGATAGTGCTACTACCTTGTTAAATGAAAAACACCACCAACCAATCCTTGGAGCTGCTTTTTATGAAGAAGAAAACTTAAATGCTTCCCAATTCATTATTGTTGTCTTTAACAAACAGCAAAGCCTTATTTTACTCATCTTAGTTCTCCAATAATGATGAAATGCGCACAGTATTTTTGTAATGATTAAATGCTTTTCTTAATATATGGAAATTATCAGCATTTCTTCATAACAATGTAATATAGCATTGACTGTCCATTACTGCATCTTGTTCTTTTTCACTCCCCCTACATTCTTGGGTTAGATGCAAGTATGCTTATCATTTATTAATAACACGGTGTAAACAATGGAAATTACACGGTACAGAGTATAATCATAATCATGTAAGAAATAAGCTAAACTAACAAAAATATCAGAAAACTACACCATCCACTGAAACTACCCCTCAGTCTAAAGTATGCATTTAATCGTCTTACTCGTCCTACGCTTGATCTATTTCCTGTTCTTTTCTCATTTTCAGTACCCAACTGAACTTGCTCTTTGATATAGTTGGAGGATGATGTTAACGTGGAATAAAAATAACGGGTTACTTTCAAGTTTAATTGCCCAATATTCCCAGTAGCATGAAAAAACCTTTCAATGTTTTTATTAGTCATAAAGGCTCTACGGTTTCTATCATGTTCATACAGCCATCAAATGTCATAATAAGTTTGTGAAATTCAAAGCTGTGAATAATAAAATGAATATCCCCCGATTCAAAAAATAGGTATAACATACTAAACTCTTGCACCTCCAAAATTCATAGGAAGTAGGAACCACCAAGTATTAAAGTTCAGGACATAACTATGGATCAAAGTTATTCTCTGATGTTTCTTTGTCCTCTTAGGATGAAGAGACCAGAGCAATCATAGTTCCAGTTCTAGATTTAAGATTTACCAACAGAACTTATGTAACTATAGGACTGTTTATAGACTACATGGTGCAATTTCAACTAATTGATTGCATTTGCATTTGACAATTAGAAAGAAGAACATCATAAAATAAAAAAGCATCGCTAATAGGAGAAAAGTAGCTAGGATGCCTCAATTACTGGGAGGATCAGTATGAAGAAATTCTTGAATGGTTGTAGGGAAGTCCAAGCCTCCAAAACCACCACCAGCACCCTCAGAAATAAAGGCAGCTTTCCCTAAAAGCAAGTGTGCTAATCGTAAGGGTTCTTGCTTCTCCTCTCCACCACCATTCAGAAAGTACTTGATCCACCCTTCTAGCCTCAACACCTCCTTCCTACACTTTGGCCCTTCCACACCAACAATCTTCGAATAAAACCCACCTTCACAGTGACAAGAACCATCATCAAAACAATCTTTTTGTTCCGCTTGTTCCTCTGATAAGCCCAAGAGCTGCATTAGCCGTTCAATGTCATCATCTTGAGCTTGATTTAGAGGTGTGATATGATCAGAAGGACTAGTTTGAGATGGGTCTTGATGGGTTGGTGGAAATTCTGGGGAGACCGAGAGGAATGCTTGAGGTGGTTCACTGCTATCTTGGGTGGGAATATTCTGGCTACCACTGGGTTGCTCCACCTGGAGAAACATCGGAGAACTCAAAGAGAAAGACCCTCTTGATAAAACATTGCTTTCTTCTGTTTTAGATTCTAACGGTGCACTTTGGTCAAATTTTAACCTTTTCTCAACCTAAGCAAAAAAAATTTTCAGATTTCGGATTTCATATAAAACAACTGCAACAGCATGTGAGAATGTTGAATTTGAGATTCAATACCTGTTTTAGTGAGGAGAAGAAATTGGAATGCGAGGACAAAGATAATGGTCGAATTTTGTTGTCCATTTTAACTTTCTTTCGCTTGTGTCGTTAATAAATTGTCAAAGACGCATCACTGCTTGCCTATGATATTTATTTAATGACCCATCCACATATACCCTAAAAATGAGTGGCCGTGGGCTTTATTTTCAAATTAAATTTGTTTGAGTTTTTCTTTTTGTTATATTTTTCAAGAAGAAGATAATTCACATATTTTAAATAAAATTAGAGTTATAACTTAAGGGCGTGAAATTTGAACAAAATTGACAGTGGGATGATGTAAAAGGCTAAGCAACATTAGGAAATGGAATAAACAAGATAATTCACATTATCTGAAGAAGTACATTGCAATAACGTTTACTTCAACAAACACAAATCTAAAACTCAAGTCCACAGGTCAATCCTCGCGTGTTTCAATGCTCACTTTCCGGGGACGAAGTTGGTGGCGTAGGCCCAGGCATTGTTGTTCACTGGGTCTGCAAGGTGGTCGGCGAGGTTCTCAAGTGGGCCCTTTCCGGTCACTATGGCCTGAACGAAGAACCCAAACATGGAGAACATGGCCAACCTACCGTTCTTGAGCTCCTTCACTTTAAGCTCAGCAAAAGCCTCTGGGTCATCAGCAAGGCCCAATGGGTCGAAGCTCCCACCAGGGTAGATTGGGTCTGTGACCTCTCCAAGAGGCCCACCGGCAATACGGTAACCCTCGACGGCACCCATCAAGATCACCTGAGTGGCCCAGATGGCGAGGATGCTCTGGGCATGGATCAGGCTTGGGTTACCCAAGTAGTCAAGCCCACCCTCGCTGAAGATCTGGGAACCAGCCTTGAACCACACGGCCTCACCGAATTTAACACCGTTGCGGGACAAGAGCTCGGGGAAGACGCAGCCCAGGGCTCCAAGCATGGCCCACCTGGAGTGGATGACCTCAAGCTCACGGTTCCTTGCGAAGGTTTCTGGGTCAGCGGAAAGCCCAGCAGTGTCCCAACCGTAGTCGCCTGGGAACTCACCAGTGAGGTAGGATGGGGGCTCGCCGGAGAATGGGCCCAAGTACTTGACACGGTCTGGGCCGTACCATGGGCTTCCGGAAGTTGCCTGCTTGGTGACGGTCTTCCTCATGCTAACCCTCCCAACGCCCAAATCTGGGGTTGATGGGGACAGCTTGACGGGCTTGCCAGCCAAGGCTGGGGATGAGAGAGCCATGGAAGAAGCAGCCATGTTGAATTTTAAGGATGAGCTTGCCCTGTGTTTCTGTTAATTATTGCAAGTGGTGAAGGTTGAGGTGAAGTTGGGTGGGTATTTATATGGGCTTGAGGCGGTTGTGGGCTTATCTTGTGCTATCTAAAGCTACAATGCGATTGGGAGTTGTAGATTTTGGTGTTCCACGTGGCACCCCTCCAATCCACCAATGGGTTAGATTCTTTTGTGGTTTGTGACCAATGTGGGTCTTCCACGTATGACTTGGGGATTCCATTAGATATGTTTGTGTAATAAATACTTATTTTATTGTTCCACGTAGGAGCTTCTTGCCTTGAATTATATGGGGTTATGCTTTCATTGTCTCACAAGTGTTAGATATTTTTGGGTCCACTTATTGTTTTGTTGTGGCAAGGCATTTTAGAACCACACAATTTGAAATGATAGTGAGTGCATCGACAGATGTTTTATTTCAACAAGCTTTGGCAACGTGGAAGAACCATTTTAACGCAGACAAATCGTGAAAAGAGCCAAGTAGCAGTTGTTGATGTTACAACGGGTTTATTCAAATATGTTTAGTTGTACCAAATACTTCATCACTTGGGAAAGCATATATATTTATTTGTGTGATCTTAATGCTAGTGTAACTTTAAAGGACCTTTGTCTTTACAATTATTCGGTAATGGTTTATTCTACGCCCACGTCAGTCACTGAGGTACAATTACACATGTATTCTCATCCATGCAATGCATTGGGTGAATTAGCAATGGGGTAATTGAATATTGGTCCCTACCATGCTATGCCTTTTATTTTTACCCGTGTCCCATTTTACACTTGATAGCTTATCCAAAATCTAAAGTGGCCATTCCTTATTGGATGAAAGAAGCATTTATGATATTTCCTTAGATATATATAATAACCTTTTATAGGAAGAGGAATCCAAAAAGATAAGTGATAGGAGATCAAATTTTCCAAAAGTTTCAAACCAATGGAAATTCATATGGACAACTGGGATTATTTTCTTTGCCTGTTAATGGATTTGTGTGTACATTATGATTTATGACGTCAATTTGTAACAAATGGGTGAAGATTGAAGAGCGTAGTTTCAATTTCGCTCATTCTGTTTGAGGTGCCTACCTGTTCGCCACATATAAAAGGTTAAGGTATTGTTGTTCAGGGTCGGTCATATAAAGAAAAATTAAAAGATATTATTATTGATATAATAAATATCTATAAAATAGTGAAAGAAAATTAGTAAATAAAATAATTTACCTGCCTTCCTTCATGTGTGTTTTTACTTTTGAATTGCATATTCAGTGTATGAAAATAAAAGACAGAGAATAAAAAGTTAAGAGGCGAGATTGAAAGGAAAATATTTGAGAGGCGAAATATCAGAAGACCAACTTTCAAACACTTTCTATGAATCGTAAAAAAGAATAACAATAATAATAAAAAGATTGCGTATATAAACATAGATTATGGTTATATAGAACAAAATTCAATACAAAATTATGAGATAGAAATGATAAGCTTCACCACACACAGGCTTCCATTTGTGTGGCAAAGCTTTTAATACATTCAACGATGAAGTTGCAAAATGCTACCACAAATCAGTAATGACATTTTCAATGCTCCTTTTTAATTTAGAGAATTTAAGCCTGGCTAAATGTGTAAAATGAATAAATTAAAATTTTGATCGTAAAATTCTTATAATTTTTTTCTTTTATTAAAAATAATTCTCGAACTAGAAAAAACAACGATAAATATTAAGGATATGCTTGATTTCTCTTTTAAAAAGAGTTTTTAATTTTTTTTTCTAAATATAGTATAAATTTATACTATATTTAAAAAAAAAATTAAAAATTAAAAACAAACATATCCTAAAACTCTTTATTTGAGTATTTAACATATTTGGTTTTTTTAAACTTTCAATATAAATTGTTTTTCTAATATAAATTTTTATTGAAAGCAAAAAGTACAGCGAGGCTTAGCACTTGGCCCAGAGTTCTTTCTTTCTTTATTGTGAGAACTTTCTTCTCCTCTTTTGTAAGATCTTTTACTTGTTTTAGGTTAATATCATATTTTACTTTTTATGATAACTTAAATTTCTTATTTGTCTTTTATTATACCCCCTCTTATTCTTCAAACACCTTACCTTTTAGCACCTCTATCCTTGTGCTTTTTCCATCAATATTCACAACTATTGCTGCTAAAAGGTGATACATTGCTTCTTTGTTGTGATTTAGACCTTGGTACAATCACTTGCTATTGGGCCTATGCTAATCTAGAACGAGGCCTAAAGAATTTTTTTTTTATTTCCAATGATTTTTAGAGTTTTTAAGGCTGCTAGTTTCTTTTTTTTTTTTCTTTTGTAGATGAACATGGGTAGCCATTTTGTTTCTTGTCATGGATTACCATAATACTCTGTTTAATTATCATCTTTAATTATAAGTTTCATTAAAAATATGAGCTTAAAATCAAAATACTTGTCGATCTTGATTTTATTTTTTGTAAAATTTATTAAAAATGATATTTGAAAGGATATGTTAAGTCATATTAAATTATAATAATATCTACAATATCTTTTGTAATTAAGAGAGTTAAATACCTCTATTACATGTAGAAAAATTTTAATTTTATATAAATAAATAATAGAATTAATTGTTTAGTTAAAAGAAATGGTAATGCTCTCTTTTAAATATTAAAAAAAATTACAACTATTAGTTTGAAGAGGATTCTCAAGTTTATAGTTACCACATAATAAGCACTTTAATTTTTTTTTTTAATTTTTTACTTAAACTTAACAATGATAATAATAATTATTTTTTCTCCCCACCTTCTTTCTAATTAAACACATTGTATGTCAAAGTTGTATGTTAAAGATTTTAATTAAAATATCGTATTTATTTACTTAAAGATTTTATATGCATGACATATAAAATAACAATTTATTTAATTTTTAATCTTATTAATTAATATTTTAAAGATACTAATTAACAAATAAAAGATAATAAAAATTATAATAAGTGCATATTTTCAATAAAATTTTTGTATTTTTATTTTTAATTAATAATTTATGTTTTTTTTACCTACACATCATTAATAAAATATGTTAAAAAAATATTATAATATTTTTAGTACATTTATTTTATTTAAAGTAATACTGTACCTGATTTTTTTACCAACATAACAAGAATAAAATTTAATAATTAACTAAATAAATTGTATAACTTATGTCCTATTTATAAGAAATAAATATTTAATTAATAAAAAATTAATTATATTTTATAAATTTTTACTCTATTTTAAAAAATCTATATAAATTAAAGTGTTATATATTAAAAAAATAAATGTATATACTCTTAAAAATAAAAATTGAATATCTTATTACCAGAAATTTTATGATAAAAAATATATTATTTTTTATAAAAATGATAGTAAATAAATATTAATATTTTAAAATATAAATGAAAATTTATAATTAAGTATTTATTTTTAAAGATATCGTCAATTTTTGTTTTAAGTGTTATAAAAACCCATTTAATTTTAGTTTTTAGATTTAAAATGCTTGATTTCAAAATTGAATAATTTTTTTTAATAAGAAGTAAAATTAAAAGTAACGATATTTTGAGGAATTAATTTATTAATTAAGTTAAAAAAAATTGAAAAGAGAAGGATATATTGTAGGAGAGATTTCAGAAAGAAAACTGCCAGTGGTGAAATAAACTGAACTGAACTGAATTAGGGCAACCTTCTCATCTCTTTCGGCTTTTCTTTCATCGCTCAATCCCATTCTCAGGTTCTTTCTTCGCTTCGAAACGAACCTGTGAAAATTTCCCTATGCTTCTTTTAATCTTTTTTTTTTTCTGAATTTTTATTATTTATGTTCTCCGCAGATTTTCGATTGATTTTCCATGGCCAACAATCCATCACAGCTTCTCCCTTCCGGTTTTATATTTCGTTCTTTTTCTTAAACTGATTGTTTTGTTTTTTGGGGGTAATTGAGTGTAGCATTGAACCGCGTTTAAGAGAATATACAATTTGTGCTGGAAATGTGCAGAGTTGATTGATCGCTGTATAGGTTCGAAGATATGGGTGATAATGAAAGGTGACAAGGAGCTTGTTGGTACTCTCAGAGGCTTTGATGTTTATGTTAACATGGTTCTTGAGGATGTTACTGAATAGTAAGACCTCTACTGCCACATATTGAGTTTTTCTATTCTTTTCTTTTCTTGTTCTTGTTGTATTGATTTTTGTGTACAATTTGCTTGTTTCTCTGTAGAATATGCGTTTTTTTTTGGTCGGAAGGTTAATTATACAATGGAACAGGATAGGCCCAGTTAGTGACTTGCTGTACAATGTTGCATTAGGGTTTTACTCAATAGGAAACTTGTTTACAATGCTGGGTGGTTTTGTTAACAAATTTTTAGGGATGGAATTGTTTTATTCTTAAATGTGATGCTCCCTTCTTATTAAAATATTCTTCTAACTGGAGTTATGATTAATGATTTACGGTTCTGTTTCTTTTATTCCCAAACTTTCTTGAAGAAAGTGTTTATATCCCTACTTTGAATCACTGTGATGTTGGAGCAGTAATGTTGCTGATCGGAAAGTTGCCATAACTTCAATTTTCATTTGTCTTTTCCGAAGGCTATTAAGAAAGAGTTTTGGCAGTTTTATCATTATGAAGTTACCAAGAAATATCAAGGCTGCAATTGTAATGGTTTAACTGATGTTTCTTGTTACTTGTTGAGTGGTAGACTGGTAGTGAAACACTGTTATTATGATATTGTCCTTGTTTTTTCTTCTCTCAATTTTTTCTCACTTTATTATTATAATCATGGAGCAGTGTTGTGGTTGGAATTTTTTACTGAAGTTTGAGGTTCTTCATTCTGAATTGGCATGCTTTAATCCTAGAGTGTCCTTATTCCTTCCTATGTCCAAGAGAAAAGGGTTGAACAATTTACTTTATTGAAGCTTTCAATCCCCTTTTTTTTTTTACATTGCTCAGTAGCAATAATCCATTCAAAGTAGTTATTTGGACATTTCAGTAACCCCTAGCTGTGTGGAAAGATTGTTATGCTGATTAGTTTTAGGGACTTCAGTAGAAGTATGAATGAAGAGCATTTGGTAGTCTGATATTTATGATTTGATATTAAGTATTTGGATTGAATGAAATAATTGGTTTTTTGAGAAGTTCTTATTTATATACCTGAAACATGGTAGATTTTTTGTGTGTGTGGTAATGGTAAAATAATTTCATGACTGCTTCGTAATGTTATTTTTATATTTTAGGGTTTCTTTGACATAGTGATTGAGATGAACTGTGAGGTTATCTTCTTTAGAACTTTTGATGAATTTTGCTTTTGTTTCTTTGCCCTTGAGGGAATCTTATCCTCCTTTGTAATAGTCTTCTTCACTTTGAAATAACATATCTTCCTTTCACCAGAAGAAACAAAAGCAAGCTTTTGTAACATGTCACTCTGTTATGGGAGTTCTTGTGTCATATTATTTGTTCTTTTATTGGGTGAACATTTTTCGTCTCTGCAATGAATGACATTTTGCAAAATCATGTTGCAGATGAGTGACCTGTTCGATATATTTAGTCCCATGTAAATCTATTGGCTCTGTTGAACCAAATGTTTGGTTGATTTTAAAATTGGTTGAATTAATGTCTGTGAGGAAGTACTCTTGTTACCTTATAAGTATTGTTGGTTAATTTTCTTCAAATTTGAGAATTTTATATTTTATTGTTTGAGAGAATTTATGGCTGTTTGTGACAAGATGTAAAGTACTCCTTCTGGTATTTTTTATAAGAAACAAAATTGAGTATTTTTTTTATCCTAATTGTAAGAAACATATGATATATTTGAGATGTATTAATTGTTGAATTCTTTTTATATCCTTCTTTTTATTGTTAAATGTATATTTACGAGGCAATGACTACACCAATTACATCATTTAATATCATGGGTGTTTTTAGAATAAAATTTATATTTATGAAAAATGTAATTGAATTAATTATTTTCTTTGGTTTTGTTGATTTAGGGTATGTTTGATTTCTCTTTTAAAAAGAGTTTTTTATTTTTTTATTTTTCTAAATGTAGTATAAATTTATACTATATTTAGAAATAAAAACAACTTTTTTTAAAAAAGAAATTAAACATACTCTTGGTCTTTTGTTTCTTATAGATAAGACCAAAGGGAGTAATTTCTAACAAATTTGGAAATATAGATAATAGAGGATAATATGTCGATCAGGATGGAAAACATGCTTATAAAATTTCAAAGTAGGTTTCCTTTAGGAAGAAATGATGGGCAAAACAGAAACTGAATTGGATTTGTTCTGGAGGTCTATAATATAGTAATAATTGATCTTTTTATTTCAGAAGATCATTGATAAATGAATGATCTCGCGTTTCAAGTTGCAGGAAAATACTGATTTGAAATTTAAGCTATTTTGGAAGGTTTAGTTCAGAAAGTAAGGAGCACCCTGGCTATTTATTTTGTCTGAAACAACTATTTTAATTTGAATTTCTTTGTTCCAAGAATAATCATGGATCACCAAAAATTGAAATCTTATGGTTAATAAAGTAGAATAGGTACTAAGAGCCATGATCCTTCACTTCCCTTGACTGTTATTAGCATCATCTAGAATTAATAACATTCTATATGAAAACTGTATAGATTAGACTAAGACTCAATCACATCCTAATTCCAATGCTAATAATATCTGGGAACCATTAGGAGTCTTCCACATGTTTGGGTCACGTTTCCCAAGGCCAGATAAGAAAGCTTTCATTTGGCTCTTCTCTCTTATTGCCATCCTCCACCAATATGAAAGTGCATAATTTTTTAAATCATGATGCTGGAGTTACCTGAAACAATGATTTGAGCTGTTTTTCTTTATCAGTTTCTTATCTTGCGTTTCTGCTTTATTTGGGGTTTAAGTAGCCTGAAATATCAGGTGTTAAAACTGAGACATTTCTGATTATCAACTTCTGATTATTTGAAACTTTACTTCAGAGAACCTTCTTAATTACCATGGCTTTTGTATCTGCATGATTTATACTAAGCTTCCCATTCTCTCTGATTCATATGTTCATGTATATGTACATAGGGATGCTTCGGGCTCTTAGGGTACATTTGGGAGAGGGTTTTTGGAGAAGAGAGGGAATGATATATTTTTCAATTTTAAATTAAGAAAATATATATCATCTATGATGAAAAATGCATGATTACTACATTAAGTTTATGTTAATATATCTATTTGTATATATTTCATTTTGAAACAATATTAATTTTAAATATATTTATTTAAAATAAAAAATTCGCATTCCCCTCCCCTTCCTCAAAACACTCCCTTTTCAGACATAATAAATTGATTTGGTTTATTGCTTTTGTATTCATAAAACAGTGAGATCACTGCCGAAGGGAGACGGATAACTAAGCTCGATCAGATCTTACTCAATGGAAACAACATTGCTATTGTAAGTCTCAGACAATTATTTCCCATTTACCTAAAATCTTTGTGAGTATTGATAAATCACTTGATTTGGCAACTTTAGAAAGCATTGATAATCTCACATGATTTTTAGTTGTTCCATACGAATACTAAAATATCTGGCTTAATGCAGTTGGTCCCTGGGGGTTCACCAGATCCAGAGTAAATGGTGCTACTAGGTTACCAATGTTTTTAACTCTGATGTTGCGCTCTTGGCACATACTTCATATATTTTGACGAGGATTATGAGGCCGCTAGGTTTTATCTTCCCTAAACTGGATTTTAGGGTACATGGCTGTAGTGTAATGCCTATTCAACTTTTATCATGTTGAATTGTGGATTGTCCAGTGTAACAAGTAATGCTACTGATTAGCGCCTTAATATTCCAATTTCTACTTCAATTACTAATACTATCAACTTTCTCTCTGATATCTTTTATTTAATTTTATTGTTAATATAAAAAATTATAATAAAAGAGAACAGGTAATAGAAAAAAATTAGAACTAATAAACATATAAACAGTATTAAAATAATAAGATCTAATTTAGAGATAAAATTTGACTTCTTCAGAGAGAAGAGTTGCATTTTCAAGGATAAAATATGAATCTAGAACTATTTAATTAAAAAACTAAGGAAATGGACTTTACTTTTTAACAATTGAATTGGTTTAATTTTAAACTTGAATCTGTAAATTGAATCCAATTTATCTCTAAAAAAATATTCAGCTTTCTTAAAATTGGGTTAATTTTTATTTTTATTTACATTTTTTTATCGATTATGGAAGCTATACGAATGTATTTTCCCCCAAATAGGTGTAATTTTTAATGACTATTATTTTATTCTCACATGGATTTGAATGCTATTATTGTGATAAATGAGTTAAGAATTTTGACATTCTTGATTGTTACCAAATATAAGTTAATCATCGAATGTTTAAAGAAAGCACATTAATTCAACTTACACTTAAAGTTAGAGCATGTTTAAATTTAGGTTTAAACGGTCATAAATCCCCATTTACATCAATATTAATCATAATTTTTGCTTTATATCTACGTTTACATGTTTTGTTTAATGTGTACTAAATTGTAAAGAGCAAACAAACGTGCATCCACTTTCTCATCCAGCAGGATGAGAACCAATAGATAAAATAATATACTGCTGGAAGGAAAATGCTACAAGCAGTGAACATTTTGTTTAATATTTCATTACATTATTCATTTTTTTTAGTGGAGAAGAGAATTAAGTTGTAACATTTACATGTATAACCTGTGTATACAGCTGAAATATTTCTTTTAAAAAAAACTAGAAAAATAAGTACACAATCTTGCGAGGCATAGTTAACTTGAAATATTACCTAAAATTCATTGTGTGTGAAGAAAGATTGCTTCTATGATCCAACCTCGAAATTGACAAAATTGAATGAATTGCACAGGAAAGTCCATTTTCGTGTGAGCTCTCAGTCAAGCACGTTTTGCTGCCCTTGCTCTAGACACAGATTTTAAGTAGAGCTCCTCATACTGTGCTGCTGAAGATTCCCAGCTGAAATCTATGTTCATGTCCTTCTGAACAAGTTGCTTCCAACTCTCAGGATTATTCCTGTAGAGATTAAATGCACGTACCAGAGCACCGTTTAATCCCTGTCAAAATTGTGTCATCAGCGTTGACCAGAACAATTAATAGCATAAAATTTCTCTAGTAGATGAGAATGTTGAATGGAGAGGGAGGTAGAGTCAGAGGTAAAACAGGTGAAGTAAAATCAACGGCGATACAACTTTGTATTACTGACTCTCCTAAAAAAGGACAGCGTTGTGATAACATGAAATGTTTAGTTGTTTACCTGCTCATCAGCGTTCACAAATGTAAATCCATTGCGAAACTGTGGTGGTATTGTATCATCATCAACATCAAAAACACTACAAAAAAGGAGACATAATTTAGTTATTCTATGGAAAACAAGAATTACGCTAATGATGCTAGGATAACCTGTCATTAAGGCCACCAGTTTTTCTTGCAATAGGTATGGCACCGTATCTCATTGATATCATCTGCACGAAAGATATTAGGAAACTGAGTGAAGGAAAAAGTTGGAAAAGAAAGGAAGAATTAGTACAATACTAATACACTATAAAGTCATTCAGCAAAACAGAACTAGGTCATTCATGAGGAGGGACATTAAAAAGTAGAATTACGTAATGTGTACATTTCTCAAGGTTTCAGTTTATCAGTACGTATATTTTACATATTTGCAGTCTAAATTTGAATATAAATAGGAAGCACAAAATACTTCCACGTGTCTATTGTATGGCATTGCATACAACTTACACCATCATACTTTGTTGCTTGTATCATCTTTGTGATGATTCAAGTAAAATATCAGAGTTCATGTTCAATATATTATTATTATTATTATTATTATTATTATTATTATTATGCCTGAAATGATTGATGATGAAAACAAGAACTCGTCAACTATTTGATGTTAGGTTTTTGTTCACTAAAATATTAGTCCTGATTTTTTATGAAGCCCTGGTCCCTATAGTTTCAAGATATGAAGTGTTCAATTTACGAATGGGCCCAGTCCAAGTATACAGTATAAGGAAAGCGGTTGGTCTTCTAGTTGAGGAGAGCTAACACCCAAATGAGTGACTAAATCCAAATGAGTAAAATAGTAGGAGGACTAACATCCAAATCAAATAATTTTCGGGACCAAAATCCGAATGCGCAAAAAGTAAAAGCTATAGGGACCAAAATTTTAGTTGAACCTAGAATAAAATTCCAATTATGTAAAGGCAAAGTCATTTTGATCCCTGCTCAGTATGCAGCCCAAATCCAGTGACCTCAGTCATGCTGCCCTTGTTTTCATTCTTCTAGCAGGTTACTGTCAGGAATTTTTATTCTTATCTCAGCCTCAAAATGGTCATCTCTCATCATCGATGCTTGGAAAAATGATCTTTAATATGCTCAAAGGGAAAATTATGTATTTAGGTAGCATTCTTATGTATGTCCATAATATATCTCTTGGATTTGATGATCCAAATTAATCTCTTACTTTTTCTGATTTCATACCTCCAAAGCCTTTGTTTCTCTGTATCTATCTTACTCTCTGACCTCAGATACCCCAGGTTTTGTTTCCCAAATCTGAATCTAGCCCTTCACTTATGTCTTCCCTTAATTCACATCTAAGACCATCTCAGTCCAGTTGGATTCTTTCTCACCTCACTTTATTTCATTTATGTGCAGAAAATGGATTCTAGCACACTTAATAATAGATTGAGTTTTGACTGAATGAATATCAGCTATATAATTGAGTAGCAAAAATACAAGCCTCTGTAGTCACAAACTCGCAATACAGTTTAATGCATATAAGATTAGGTAATTGTGTGTCTGAAACAGTACATTCATACATGTATTTATGATTACAGAGTAATAAATACAAATGAATATAATCATAATCAAGTCTCGGATCATAGCCTATAGATATTAACATGTGCTAATCTAATTTTAACATGTGATTCATATTCTATTTATAACAAAATAAAATGTTGAACAACTTTTTACCATGAAGATACATGGTATTATGAAAAGAATGGAGCATGTATTTGCATTAATCATAGTATTATATAAGAAATAGATTTCTGCACTTTTTTTAATCATGACAACCATTTTGACCATTACCTGTGTTAGGCCACAAGGTTCAAAGATTGACGGAATGATGAACATGTCAGAGGCAGCATAGATGGTATGAGAGAGAGATTCATCATACTTCAATATCAACCTTATGTGATCATGATTCTGAAACTGGTTGGCAATGCCCTCAAATTCTCTCTAGAGAAGAAAAAACTGGTAATCAGTTGATGGACAATAGGAAAGAGAATTGGCATGTCAAAGTAAACATCAAATTTCAACCTTAACAGCCCACTTCTAAAACCTTTTTTTATAAAAGATCTCAATAATCTTCCCTTGCACATAATTATCTGGCTTTGTCGCACGCCCACATTAATTTACAATAGCATTTAAGAATGTTGTACACATACATATAGAGTTAATAATATATGCTCATGATCTTCTAAGCAAGTTCTCTCTAAAATTATTGAAGCCTCAGTTAGATATGTTCATGATCTTCTAACTATGCTACAACTTGGATTGCAGTACAGTTCAATGCATGCCAAAGTTGAAACTGCATGAATGGGATGCAACATGATGATTCCAACCTTCACATACATTTTATCATATAAATTTATCCCTTGATTTGATATTAGATATTTTACTGAGTTATTCCAGAAGAAATACAAATCCCAAAGGCACATGATACAAAAAATTCATATAAAAATGGTATACAAGACATTGACATCAACTTCATGACATGATCAATTTAATTGAGCATTCATTGTATAGTGTATACATCTTAATGTATCAATATCATAAATGTTAGAAGAAGAAAAGCAAAGAGATCATTTTCTCCTGTAAGTCAAGAATTAGAAAACTACATCAGAAGCAACATTACCCTGGGAATTTATGTGTGTGAATATGGAAGTAATAATCCAGTTCAGGTAGTATGCTTACATGAATTCAAAGATTCATGCATTATTTTTTTGTTGCAATGACCCTAAAAAGTTTGAACCGTGTGAAACCGTGAAACTACCCAGATCCCACAATAGTAGCCCAATCCTAGAGGCTTAACTAAAGAAATTCCTGATTAACACAACTTAATTTGCAGTTATAAACTAGCTTGTAAGTACTTGCCACCTGAATAGTGAATACACATTGGCAAGCCAAACAATTAGAAAGATGATTAATATTGCATCCTGTCTTCTTTTTTTTTTTCTTTTTTTTCCCCAACAATATGATCTGGATCATCTGTGATTATTTTATTTCACTGAAACATATGCCTATGTACAACCTTTTTCTCTTTTGGTTGCTAATGAATTCCACCTACATTTCCTGTGGGGCAGTATTTAACTGACTTCCTTCTTATTCTATACTGTTTGAGCTGTCTCCTACCTAAAATGAAATAGAATACCCATAAATTTCACCTGAATATGTGGCACTGGACTGGAACCAAGCAGAACAAATTGTCCTCCCAGCTCCAATGTTAGATATATGGCATGTCTAATAAGATGAACACCTTTTTGTGGAACCAATCTTGTTATGGAACCAACCTATCAGAGAAGAGAATAGACAAATCCAATCATTAAAGAATCTTCATTTCAAAGAATATAGTGTCAATTGCAAAAAATGAGAAGAGCAAACTATGATTTATTCTATCAAATAAATTCCATTTTAAATTTAGGATATATAATTACCAATGGCCTCCTAACATCTGCAGATGAAAGACCTAGGCTCCTTCTCAAGGCTTCCTTATTCTCTGCTTTTCCTTGAAGATCATTTGCATTATACTGGACTGGAAGAAATGTGTCCATGGCAGGATTCCATGCATCAGTATCAATACCATTAAGAACACCAATGAACTTTTTGGAGTGTGCAGAGAGTGTTGAATGGAGGCCTTGCCCTCCCTGCATTTTGTACAATAATATTGTTGATGGGAACGATTTTGTAAGAATGAAAAGTCTGGAAGTGTGCTTATTAACATTGAGGATGAATTATGTGTAACTGTTTTATTAGTATATACTATATGGACATACACACAGTCATAACTAAAAATCAATTTCAAATCTTTTCCAAGCTGTCAATTTGCAAATCAAATCAGATGTTTTAGTTCCCTCATATTCCACATGTAACAACATCAAATTCAAAATAATGATACAAAGGCATAAGCAAGAATCCTTCATTTGTTATTAGAAGCAAAGCCCTTGTTTATTCTTGTGAAGAATCAAATCTTCAAAAGGCTTAAGGTGCTAGGTAGAGCATGTGAATGGTTTTAAATCTTTAACACACCCTTACTTGAAAGCCATTTGGGCTTGAATCATGGACAAAGCTCAAGCCCACTGAAACCTCATGCAGATTCATTTAGGTAGAAGTAGAAGGAATCAATTTCCTGATCACTTGGTCATAGACTCAAATACCATGTCAAGGACCAACTCTAGTGAAAACCTTTATTTGGAAACATCTGAATGGTTGTGTATCTCTAACAATCCTTTTTCTGAACCATCAACTCACCATAGAAGGGAGAATGATATAGAAACAATTATAGATGCTTATCCCAATCAGTCTTATGCTGGTGTCATCATGAGTGCTTGCCTTATTATTCGTATTAATTAATTAAAGAAAAAGATATTTTGCTAAACCAGAAAATAAATATATGCAGAAGAACAAGAAATGAACCATACCTCTGCAGTTCTCACCTCTTGGGCATATGTAGGTGAAACTGTTGTCACAATGTTTGAGAAAACAATTCCACCCTGACCATTGGAAAGTAAAACTATTACTTATATTTGCTGATGATGTATAGTATAATAAATAATTTTTTTATTTTTATACCTTGACAGAATTAACTCTATCATGTGACGAGTTGTCCTGCATTCTATCTGGTCTGTTTAGATTGTGGGTATCAAGACCACATAATTCTAACTCTGAAGCTGCTGCAGTCCCCTGATACTCAAAATTGTGGCATGTAAAACATATCCTAGCTGAATTTAATCCTTTTGGGGCATATATATCCCAGTATAGAGGAGCCTGGCAAAGAAATGCATGTGTGTTATTCTGTAAGTTATTTGAGAAGCAAAAAATTGCTAGAAAGAAATTGACAGCTCGTACAATAAATGCTGTCTGCCAATCATGGCAATGAATGATATCTGGTTTCTTGCCAGCTCGAAGAAGAAACTCAAGAGCTGCACGGCTAAAAAATGAAAATCGTCTGAAATCATCATGCTCGCCATAAAATTTTCCTCTCCAAAAGAACTTATCAGGGTGATGGGGCTCAATGAAATAAACAGGAAGGCCTGCATAGTCAAAGTGAATTTACTAAACCAGTTAAAGACATTAAATCAAAATGGAAATATTTAATTGTTGACCTTCAATAGTGCCAACCCAGATTTTATTTTTGAATAATTGACCATCAAAGTATGACTCTATCTGCACATCCAAAGCCTACAAGAATGATCAAATCACATGAGTGATGCAGGATATCAACTACAAAGATTGTATCCATATTTGATTTTTTTCTCAATAAAATAGCATACCCTTAAGTCACGGATGCGGTCATATTGCATGCAATCATATTTGGGAAGCACAATTTCAACAAGGTGTCCTTTCTTTCTCAATGCTTTACCTAGACCACTGATAACATCCCCCAACCCACCAACCTGTCACAGGAATAACTTACATATCAGTATGTAATTAGGGGAAAAAAAGAAGAAGAAGGGATTAGCTGAAAGCAAATCTGGCATCTTCAATGAAATAATTAAACAACGGAGAGCTTTGTTAAATTCAAGTTGAAGGAAAAGGAATACTTAGAGATTCCATCAGGAAAATAACTCTACTGATGCCAAAAGAACTACCCCATCAGAGACTCAGAGTAAATGCAGTAAAAGAATCCTAGTTTCTTCAGGGGAATCTTCCAATTGATCAACCTTCCTTTTCAGTTGTATTAGAGTGGTGACCAAAATACCCTTAAGGATTGCCACAGTTCAGTCTGACCAAATGTTCCATGAATCTACAAACATGATACACATCTAGAGGACCTTGCCCTTCTCATATCAAACCAAAACCCCAAAAATGGATCAACAAAACCCTCCCAAGGTCTCTGACAAACCCACTGCAGTTCAAAAATAAAAACTACCTATCCCACATTATGTCATGACATTGGGAATTAATGATACTGGAACTAATATCTAGGGCTGTAAGGATTATAGAGGCGGCTTCATGCATTTCCAAAATGAAAATTTAGAACCCTTTCACAGATATTCTTTATAAGGAAAACTCTCTGCATGCTAACAAGGAAATACAAATCTGAGTTTGAGATAATCACATGTCGCTACCTACGCTCAATGCAGCAAACATATTTCAAATAGACCAAGATAATCTTAGGAACTGAAACATCCAACTCTAGTATCTGTACTCTTAAGATAATTCTTTATCCAATTAGGTCAACCATTCCAAAAAGTAAAGCAAATAGGATACATACCATGAAACAAACACAAATTTCAAAATATGTGGAGTTGTATTTTGTTAAAAGTTGTATTGGTTCATTCAAATGAAAAGTTTTTTTGTTTCATAATGAGAGTTGTTTTGTTTCATTAAAAAATGAAAAGATGACTTGGTTCAATCTAAGAGTCATAGTGTTTCATTAATATGTGAATCAAAAGACACAGCTTTACACGAATAGATATCAAGTGAGAGGGTGTGATTATTCACATATAAATTGATATAATTGACATTATATGTCTATTCATGAATGAAAGAACAATTTAGAATAAATGTAATTCTTCATAAAAGATACTAAATCAAAATATGTGATTTTCATTAAAAAGCCATCACTTGAAATAGTATGATTTTTCATGAAAAGGCATCAATTAAATTGATGTAACTTTTCTTATCCTAGATAGACACAATATCTATAAATAGGAGCATTTTCCAAGCACATTCTCCAGTTGGCACTCCACGACATCGTTTTGAAAAGTTAACTTGACAAGTCCTTTACAAATGTCAAAAACAGCATCGTTCTACAAAATTATGAAGTGTCTTGTTTGCCTAAACATAATTATAGATTTCCTCATTTGTCTCGGAGAAGAAGCCTAAATGTATATGTAGAATCTCACACAAATTCGTCTTCGTAATTGTGTTTGATGGTGGAATATTTAGATATTGAACTTTAAATTACTGAACTTCATGCAAGCCCACAAATACCCATCTCTATATCAAAGTTGTCATTTCATTTTATTGTGTGGTGTAAATTGGTTGTTGACTCTGAATGGATAAATGACTTTTTGCCGGTAAAATTGACAAAGCTAGTATCTTTTTCGGACTTTAATATTTGTTGCTTGAGGCTTATAAGTACTTGATTTTCTGTTTGGTGGGTGTTATATGGAGTATGTTTATGGTCTATATATGTATGAGCTTCTAGTTTTATGATTCTAGAAAAATAAAAAAATCCCTTTTTGGTGAGTGCAGAAATTGAGGATTATAGGAAATAAGAGACAAGCTTCCACTAAAATGGAGGAGTTTACCAGGAGTCATATATAATCGTTGATGAATTTCCTTTTTTCACGGCAAATCAAGTGAAGAAAGTTTCAGTTATTCCTCTTGTTTCTCATTTTCTATGAGGTTTTTGGAGAGCCCTGTGGATTAGAGGATTTAGCCCTGCTTGAATTCTTGTTTTTCCCATTGATATGGAGTGTTCCTGAAGCTTAGATTACTGCTGAGATGGGTACCATGTTCCCTGAAAAATTGTGGTTAAGTGGTTTGGGTTTCTTCTGCTTTGGGTTCCTATTGGGAGTTTTGACATTTGTAAAAGACTTGTCACGTTAACTTCCTAAAATGATGTCGTGGAGTACCAACTGGACTTCTGATATGACATTTAACGTGACAATTCAGCTTTTTATTTATGTTTCTTAATGGAGTATGAAATTAGGGACTAAAATAAATTATGAAAAAAAAAGTTGACTAACGTGATATATTAAATTTTTTAAAGACTAAAATACTAGACTTAAAATCTTTCAAGAACTAAAATAAAGGTTTAATCTTTATATTATTAACAAATTCATTTGTCTTATCTGTAGTATAAGAGATAACTAGTAAAAGTATCATTCATGAAAAGTCATGGTTGTCGCGGCTTAACTTGTGGATAGCAAGTAAAACTATCATTCTTGAGGAGTCATTGTTGTCGCAGCTTAAGTTGGGGAAGTATAAAATGCATTCAAGGTTCTCTATTATATCGTGAACATAATTTGTTATCAAATCCATTTTGCATCTAAGTTAGTTATTAGCAGCGCAAATTAAGCCTAAAGAAAAATGTATTTCATGCCTTGAAAACATTGCACACTTTCCTGCTAAACCCTTCTTTTTCTATCCTACAAAGATCCATTTCCACCAACACAAATGGAACATGATGTAAATCACAATTGAAAAATATTGGTGAAATATTTTTTGCAGAGTCATGAATCTCTAATATTTATATACATTTTCATTTGTTTGATCACTTGTTATCCCAATGACAATCAAGCCATTCCATATTACATAATCTATACTCTATGGAAGCATGGATTTGTATGAATAATAGTCCATTTAACAGTACAGTATCTGTAATACATACTGTTATGCTGTGTAATGAAGTGTAGTCTGCTCAGCAATCAGTTTAGTCGCATGTAGTTAGAATTCTGTTATGAAGCTGAGTGAGATGATAGAAGCTGTTAGAGGTTTATTTGGTTCAATTAGTAACAGTTGCAGAACAGAAAGTCCTCACCATGTTCTCTCTCTAACTTCTCTTCCTTTTTCTCTTAGTTTCTCAGTTTTTCTTGGTGGTTCTTAATTTCTGCCAGGTGTAAATACAGTTCCACGATATGAACTTGAATAAGTTCAGACATAATCATGTTAAGAACTTGAAAACCATCAATTAAGAATTAGGATCTTGCAGCTACACAACTCTCAATCTAAATGAGTATGAAAAACATAAATTTACAGCAAATTCTTAACTGTGTGCTACTTATTTTACAAAAAATAATTTCAATTATTGTTAAGAGAGGTACAAAAAGAAAAAGATAAAAATAAAAGAGACAGAATGTTAAGGAGGTCTAAGAATTTATTTCAATACAGAACTCGCACCCCCAGTACTCCTGTTCTTTACATAAATTAAGAAGCATCTGACATGCTTCTTCAGGATTCCAGGCAGTGTTATAACAGTTGAAGACCACATCATACAAAGGGGAATAAGATAAAACAAATTCAAAAGAATAAAATATAGGAAAAAGGATACAATTGAGTGTACCTTAGCTACTGGTGCCATCTCTGCTGCAATATGAACCACATATAATCCTGGACTAAAGATAAAAAATAAGGGATACATAAGAAAGTGGAAGATATACAAATTGGAATTTAGCATTAAAAGTTAATACCTTGTTGCCGATGATAACAGCCCAAGAAATGCAGAAATTGCCTCGTCTTCACTCTGTTCTTTGCAAGCCATATATGTATCACTAATGCGCCTATCCCTTTTCCATACCTTTTCTCTCAAAAGGTTAGCATCATCTACTGATATTTTCTTTTCTAGTGTCCAACCATCAATTAGAAGCAACAATTGACTCCAAAATTCCCATGGCATATCTTCCACTGGTTCATCCAGTGCCCTTTTCTTGCTTTCTTCTTTAAGAGCATCAAGTGTATCTTGAAATTCCTTCACTGACTGTTGATATAGTTGAACATAAGAGTTTATCTCTTCGTCTGATTTTTGAAGACGGTCCTCCAATAGTTTTATCTTTTGTTGCATTAGTTCATTATATTTTTGTAATTTATCAGATGATAGCTTGTAGATATTAGCTTCTTCAAGAGATGCTTCCAATTTATCAACCTTCTTTCGAAGATCCTGATTTTGTTGCAGCACAATAATAGCTTGATCAGCTTGTTTGGTTGCTTTATCTAGCAACATTTGCAAATTTTCAACCTTATCCCATAAATCCTTGCATTCAACTTTAAGGCTAGACAATTTTGATACATCATCCTGAGACATTGATAGTTTTGATTCCAAGTCTTTTAGGGCTGATTCCAAAGATGATCGTTCCTTCTCCAATACCACTAAACGTTCATCATTATTCTTGACATCATTAAGCTGTGTTTTAAATGATTCTATGGCATTCTTCAAAGAGGTGTTTTCTGCCCTTAATGCATTAAGCTCCTCAGTAAGGGAACGAATGCTATCATTACCACTTAGAGGATATGCATCACTCAAAACTCCATTTTGCAGGTCATGCAATTCAGCATCTCTTCCTTCAGTACTTCCCTTTTGAGCCAGCTCATTACGTAGTTTCTCTAACTGCCCCTCCAAGAGTTCCACGTTTACCTTTTCCTGGGCAGCAACTTTAATCCGTGCATCAGTCTCAGCCAACTTCATCTCTAAGACATTAATTTCTCCTTGTAATGCTTCCTTTTCAGCAAGAATCTTTTCAAGATCTTCAAGTGCATGTACTCTAGCCTGATTTAAAAGAAGTATGTCTGCAAGAACAATATAAAATTCTTAATAACAATAGGTAACAAGTTATTGAACCAAAAATAAGGGTATGAGAAAAAGAAATCCAAAAGGATTCCAGAAAATATCTTACTTTTCTCTGCATTTCTTATCATGCCTAGCAAATCCTGAAGTTGACTACCAGATAACTGTTCATCCTCCTCTGCTCCATTTATGTTTATGGCCTATTTCATAATAAAATGATCAGTTGTAATAAAAAGCTAATGTTCTAACTATTCCAAATTTCTGTGCTAAGTTTACCCATGTAAGAGAATGACTCTATCAGTCTATCCAGACTTTTCTACTGAACAGAGTGTGCAACAAAAGTTTCAGAGTAATGTGGGTTGGTAAATGACTCATGTTTAAAATTTTTCACTTCATATTGTAATTGATGAATTGGATTTTAAACCTAACTCAATCCCGAAAACTAGCTCGTAAGTTGAGGATTATTTACACCTTCACAAGCTCTTATTTAACTATATCTATAGTCGATGTGAGACTTCAACACATTCCCTCATAGTCAAGATTGAACATTTAGAGTGTAAAAATTGTAAACTATTTTTTCCAATATAGCATTGGATAAGCCACAGGACCAGGTAAGTAGCACTGGAAAAGTCGTGGGACTAAGTACATTGCATTGGAAAATTCACAAGGCCAAGTTAATTGCACCAAAAGTATTCATGAGGTCAGATTTTCTTTTTTAGTCATAGGTGACCCTGTATTGTATCTACAATAGACTTTGATACCATATTAAATTTAGACTTTAAGTTTAAGTCAACTCCAAAAGTTAGCTCGTAAGGTGAGGATTATTTTAGCATTTATAAGCCCACCCCTATTTAGACAGATTTGTAGTCAAGGTGGAACTTCAACATTACTTGATACAGTTGAGATTCATTGGTCTGCATCTAACTACGGAAAAAATGGTTGAGAGTCACAATACAGGTAAGGTACCACATTGTAATGATTTAGTACAAGGTTGAGAGTCACAATACAGGTAGGATACCATATTGTAATGATTTATGTACAAGAAAACATTCATATCTCCTACTATTATAGTATAACACAAGTGTGTAATTTTATAAATGAAGTAACAAAAATGTCAGAACGTGAAGAGTATTGCAAAGTAAATAATCAATTTATCAACAAATATCAATATAAAGAAAATAAAACAAGTAGGAAAATGTTTTAGCAACAAAAATTATATTAAATCTCTATAAATAATGACAGAAATTAAATCAGAGTTAGGACAAATGTAGAGCCAGCCACACCAAAAACTAATATATGTTGGTCTTTCTCGTGATTGAAACCCAAACACATCTTGTTCTTTGATCAATCCCTCCAAAGCCAATCCTCACAAGCGTTATAGTAAGAAGTTAAATAAATAGATTGAAACTAATGACTAAAAGATGATAGAAAAGCAAGGGAACTGCAGTTTCAATTGTTTTTTATTTGGCTTTATTCTCTCTTTTTTTTCTCCTAGTAATTCAGATAGTAGAGTTTGGGGCATTGGTCCTTCTTCTAGCAAGTTTTCTTGTAAACGTTATCCCCCACTGATCAAGGTTCCCTCCTTGACAAACCCATATTTGGACTAAGGCCTCCTCCAACATCAAATCCTTTTTGTGGATAATAATGGCTTGTGGCAGTTTCATAGGTATCACTTTGCTCTTTTCCCTGATATTCAAGTTCTATGCAATGTAAAGTTGGCTCCTTTCCCTGCCTTTGCAAAATTGGAACAATCTTGTCAGAGTTCAAGGCTTAACATTGGGTGGCTTCAGAAAAAACAAGAAGGCTGAATTTTTGTCACAATGTACTGTTTATAACCTTACACAATCCTTCAGTACATTTTACTGGAGATGAATACTCTCACTATTGACCAGGCTTTCAAACTTAAACGAAATATATAATGTTCATAGAATCTCTTGATTCCCTTCAGTATTTATCTCACGACCCTAATGTATTTTGAGGAGGGTTAGGAACAAACTTCTAATTACTGAGTAAAATTTATTGAAAACTACAAAATTACAAGAAAATAATTAAATTCAGAGCGAGACTCGTGATTTTTAATTTATGACAATAACTAATAGTAAGTTAAAAATAGTGTTACTAGCATTCCTCGTGTATTTTCCCTTTGCTCTCTGACAAATTTTCTTTTCTACAAACATGGCAGAGGGATCATTCATTCATGTAAACAAAATGAATACCTAAGATTCATTTTTATAACACAGAACAGAACACATAGTTGGTTAGTTCATAGAGATACCAAAGGCGGTGTTGTATCAGGCAACTCCGGATTGAAACTTTCCACAGAATCATCATTGAAAGCATGGAGCGAAGGCTTGTCATGCTCGGAGTCATCATCATGATTCTGATGGGAACCTCCCTCCGTGGAAGGTTGCGCTTTCTTGATCTGCTGCTTCTTATGCTGAGAACTGCACATAACTTCAACTTAATTCGCATTCAAACCTCAATCCAAACAAGCCACAACACGAATAACGATAGCCATATACCTGAGAGTTCGGTTTCGCATTTTGCAAGAAGCTGGAAAGGGAACGCGCACTACCCTATTGCGATTGCCATTGCCGTGGCTATGGTTACTACTACTACTACTACAGTTGAAGCCTCTCAGATTCCACCGAACAAAACACGTTGTAAGCTTCGACGCCATTTTTCATTCAATGAATCAATCTCAGTGTTAGTTACGAAGCATCCATATGAGCAAAATGAGAAGAAGAAATGGATGAAGGAAGGAAATGTTTCTTGCCTCATCCCACATCGGATTTTTCATTTTTATTTCAGTTATTAAGGAATCTTATTTATCTCAATAGAAAGATGCTGATAGTTCTACTTTGCCACGTCATTTTAGTCAACCTTATCTAACAGTTTTAAGGTCCCACTCTTCAAACACTTCTCATCTCATCAACGGTTACTGCTTGTTTTCCGGTGATAATGCTTATTCTTTCCCAGGTTATGAAAAAACTTTTGAATTTCGACCAACTCAAACTAAATCTCAATCAAGTTTTCTCAACCCACCATCAAACTCTGTTTTTGGGTTATCGTTTATAAATTTGAATTGAAATGATGTAGATTTGATTTCATTTAAAAGTAAACTTAAGGTAAGTGGTTCATGTTTGAAAATTTATCTTTTAAAAGTAAATCTATAGTAAAACTTAGTTTAAAGTTTTTTATTCAACCCAAAAACTATAATTTATTATTTTGATTTAAACGTGAATTTTAAGACAAAATTAATTTTGATTTTGAATATCTAAATATCAAACTTCTTTACAAAATTAAACTATAACTAACATCATGTGTTATTGACTACCGGCAAAGAAATGTTCTAGATAGATATTATTGTAACAGTGGCACTGCTGTTTATTCTTAACCGTAAATGTCAAATAAATCACGAAATTATACTCTTCTTTCAAAGTTTGTCATGATAAGGATTAAGGAAGTTAATTTAAATAGATAATATTTTTAAAGTAGGATTTGAGTTGAATCGGTGAATGAAAAAAAAATATAATTTAACTTCTCTTAACAATCTATCTAACTCCGACTTTAAATTACTGGAGATTCAAAATGTTTTGACACTAAATTTTATTTATTTTCATTACTGATGCATTGTTTGATGGATAGCATTTAAAGTATAAAAGAAAAAGTACACCTGAGAAGAGAATTACACCATATTTTATTTCTTCTCCATCTAAGTTAAACATAGTGAATTCAATATATTTATTATGTAATACTTTTCATTTAACAAAAAAATCATATAATTAAATATCTTTAAATTAGCCTTGAGATTGGTTAACTTGGATTGAGTTTAATGGACTTGACAAAATTAATTCGTTACATGCTAACACAATATCCTAATAACAATGTATTTCTATTACATACAGTGGTAGAGATAGTGTTCAGTTTTGATGTAATTGGAGCGTGATGTTGATGTAGACTGACACTAACTTGTAAGAAAAATACTCAAACAATGATCTAAAAATATCTATGGTGGAGCTTGATCCCTCTTGAAATGAAAAATGGAATGAACAGGAACAAGTAATGAAATGAATCTTGAATTTCTTCGAAGCCAAGACAAAGGATTTGAATCACGATACCGCCTTTTTCTCTTTTATTAGAAAATTGGTTCAAATTCAGTATATTTGCATCATGTAGCCCTCTTAATGTATCTCAGAGACGTATTAACATGGGTAGAACTTAGAAGGGTCAGTAACTCAGTATGCTACACACCTTCATTTAATAAACACCACCCCCCCCCCGGGATTTTGTAACGAGAGTTCATTTAACAAACAATAATAGCCCCCATAAATAAAGATATAACTTTATAAACTGAACAATAATGCACAGAAACCGGTGGTAGGTGATATAAATGTACTTTTCTAAATGTGAGTTGCTTAATTGTCTTAAGAGATGAGTTCCCAATGCCACCAAATTAATAGTAGATTCTTGTGAAAATTAGTTCTCTGCAATTAATATGTCCTAAATTTCTGCAATTTATTGGATGGTAAACCAAGGTTGCTTCATCTTGAGATAGAATGGCCAGGGCTTTACTGATCTACCTCCACCACATATCCATCCCAATAATAAAGGCAGCATGGATCATGCCCAACTCTCCTAGCAAACCAAATGCTACATAAAGGGGACATGCCCATGCTCTTGTTGTAGAACTGCTGTCAATGAATTTAAGGCAGCATAAATAAAGTCAGTTTGGGGATGAGTCCTATCACCAGTTATAAAAACATGCACACCATTCAAAAGCTCAATCCAGCTACAGCCTGGTCTCTTCTTCACATTTTGTTGCCTCATTGTATGCCTCACCTCTGATACTTCTTCGTATCGCCCAATGACACCATAAGCATTTGACATTAATACATAATTTCCACAATGGCCTGGCTCAAGTTCAATAACCTTACTAGCAGCAATCTCAGCCAAGTCTGTCTCCTTGTAAAGATGGCATGCTGTAAGCAAAGACCTCCATCCTACAGGATCAGCTTTAAAGGGCATTGATCGCACTAAATCGTAAGCCTCCATGAGCTGCCCTGCTCGACAAAGCATGTCAATCACACAGGTGTAGTGTTCAAGAGATGGAGAAACACCATATTTTGACTCCATTCCTGACAGAAACTCAAGCCCCTCAATCACCATGCCAGCATGGCTGCATGCGGATAACAATCCAACAAAACTGACTTCATTAGGGACCATATTAGCTTGACACATACGAGAAAATGTATCTAATGCCTCATCACCATAACCATGCATCCCATACCCTGTGATCATGATGTTCCATGAGGCGACGTCCTTGTCTCTCATATAATCAAAAACCATGCGAGCATCTCTCATGTTTCCGCATTTTGCATACATGTCCATCAAAGCATTGTTCAATAGAACATAACCAAAACCATTGTAACTTTCCTCCTTCCCCAACCCATTTACAATCATGTATCCATGTATTTCTCTACCATGCATCAAGGCCGCTAGATGTGTACAAGCTCGCAATACTGTTGTAACTGTAACCAAATCAGGCTGAACCCTGTTTCCTAGCATCCTATCAAAGAGCCTCAAAGTTCCATAATGATCCCCACACCGTTCAGGAGCCGATATGATCGAGTTCCATGAAAAAATATCCTTCTCATTCATCGCCTCAAATAAATTCAAGGCATCTGTAACACATTTACATTTTCCATACATATCAATCAGTGCATTTGAAACAACAACACTGGAGTCATAACCCAATTTTGTCGCAAACCCATGAACAGCTCTTCCATTGTCAAAATCTCCACTCACAGAAAATATAGACAAAACACCAGTAACTGCATATCTACAAGGAACTACCCCTTTTCCCCCCATCCTCCTAAACACCCCCAGAGCCTCCTCAAACCTCCCAATCTGTGCATACCCATTAACCATTGAGTTCCAAAGCACCACATCTCTAGCAGGTAATTCCTCAAACACCTCATGTGCCTCCACCAAGAATCCGAATTTCAAGTAAGTACTAACCAAAGCACTGCCAACAAACACATCCAATTCCAACCCAAGTTTGAACAACAACCCATGAATCTTCTTAACCTCCAAATCCATCGCAGCATCAGCACAGGCTCTGATGACACATGGGAAGGTGAACTTATCAGGAACAATACCCAGATCCCGCATTTGCCTATAAAGACCAAATCCACGTTGGGAAAGGCCATTTGCAACGAATCCAGCAATGATTGCATTGTAGGCAAAGACATTTTTGTCAAGATGGGTGGGGTAGTTGAAGACTCCGAGGGCATGATCCATGAGGTTGCACTTGGAGTACATGTTAATGAGGCTTGTGATGGTAAGTGCGGATGCAAAGAAACCACTTTTGAGCAAGTGGGAATGGAGTTGCTTGCCTTTGCAGAGATTTACGCTGTGGGCACATGATTGAAGTGAGGTAATGCAGGTTCCTACGTGGTAGGAGATTGAGGTTGAGAAACAGAGGAACCAGCTACTACGTTGTTGTTGTTGTTTGTGGACGACAGCTCTTAAGATTGTTCTTCCATTCATCTAAGTGTGACGTGCCTGCAAGAGTTATAACTTGTTTTGAAAATTGAAGTGAATGAAACAAGAGATCGTTAGCTAATTTTAAAGACCATAAAAAAATTATCTTCTATTTTAATATGATTTAAGATCATGAAGACATTTTTCTTTTGGCTGTTCTACTCATTTATTACTATTTTTCCCTGGCTCCCCTCTCTTATGACGCATTATGTTATAATCAGTATACAGGTAATATTTTCTATATTTTCTGTAACTAAACTCTTACTAAAAAATATTCATTATTATAATTTAAACACATAAAGAAAAACTTAAGTCAAAAGACTGGTTTATTAAGTAAAAAAAACTTAAGAATTTTTTAACATTAATCTTTAGAGTTGAATTTAAACATATACAAATAAAAAAATTTATAATAAAAGTATACATTTATTATATTAAAGTTATAAAAATATAATAAATATTTTTTAATAAAAATTTATTATTATTAATTACTTATTCTTAAACTTAAGGGTTGAAATTAACAAAACCTAAAACTTAAATATCACATAGAGTAGTTTACTGTTTGTAAAAGTTGGACAAAGCTTGAATTTAAATTGGAAGGTGAAGTGGTCTGTACATACATCCTTGTTGCCTATAAAAGCTTAAGGATTAAGACAATTTAAAATGGAACCTTCAAATAAGAAACGTTCAAGTTTGATAAATATCTTGGTTTGGAGGTATTTTACCACAAGCTTTGCCAAGCTCCCACAAGCATTTTATTCTAATTAACTCATAACACTAAGGACAAGAAATATCTCAATGAAACATCAATTTGATGAATAATATCTATCCTTATATAATAAAATATAATTTAATATTTTTTATGTATTTTTAAAATATGCAACCTTCCTTTTATTATATTTTTCAATTATAATTACTTTAAGAACTCCTAGTGGGTGTGAAGATACTTTCTACCCCCTCCTTTATGTCCCTTTTATTGACAGTGTTTAATGTATTTAATCACAATTCTATCATTAAGGGCTAAATATAATAGGCTAAGATGTAGGAAGTAATGTAAAGAAATTCATTACGAAACATATTATGTATCCGAAGTTCATCAATTTTTATGTTCAACTTGTGATTAATTTTTAAATAATTATTTCTAAGATTTTATTAAAATGATAGTAGTTTTAAAAATTGATTCTCTTATTTTATCTTATTAAATAATGTTTTTATTATCTTAATAAAAGAATTTTTATGAATCGATTCTCTTTTTATTATATTAAGTTAAATTTTTAAATTGAACATTTATTTTTAAATTTAATATTATTTAAAATTTTGAATTTTTTATAATTTATTTATTTATTTAATTTAGTATAATAGAATATTTTTCATTATTAATTACAATATTTACTCTTATTTAGATTTACATAATTTATTAAATTTTAAAATAATAAATTTTATTGAATTTAATAATACTTGTAATACACAAAAAAATGACAAATTATTAATTAATCCTCTCCACTTATGGATTAATAAGCTTAAGCAACTAATTTTGAGAATTTTTTGAATTTTTAGATTTTATTTAATAAAATTAGCTGAAAGTTTATTTCTTCTAACTTATAACTAATAAGTGAGTTGAAAATTCCGTAAGAGTTTTTTAATCTTATGCTATGATTAGTAAAAAGTAGTTAAAAGCTTATAATTTGCAAATGATAACTTAGCATGAAGCTAACAAATTGTAACAAAAAAGTTTATAACTTCATAACTAGGATGATTAAATTAGAGTTGTTTAGTAAGTAGATTAAATGTGTTAAATAATTAAAAATAAAGTGTTAATATTGTGTTGTCTGAGTGAAACTTATTTAAAAAATTAAAGATAAAAATTAAAAATATTAAAAATTTATCTTTTTATAAATTGAATACCACTTAAAATATCTTTTTATAAGTTAGCTTTTAAAAGTTATAATTTTTTTTTCTTTATATACTACATCGCTCTGTTAGCATATGGACAAAAACAATAAATTATAAACTATAAATACTTAATTTGGTCATGTAAGTTGAATAATACTCACTTTAAGTGTAAAGGTACATATATCAAGGATATCGTGGTAGCACGTAAGAAATTAATTTTCTTAAACCCATTAAGTCGCATTTCAAAGACATTTTTATTATATAAATTTGTTTTATTACATGAAAAATTATAAATGATATATATATATATATATGGTAATGATTGAAGAATGATTATTTTAAAAGTTTAGAAGTGAGAAATTTAGAAATTTTTAACAAATAAAGGATTTGTTAAGATATGAAATGTTTTATCTTGGATTAAATTTGATGGTTAATTGAGTTAAAGACAATTTAATTAATTTAACTTATAAAGACTAAAAAAAAATGTAAGAGTTTTAAGTTAAAAAATTGAAAGTGTGCCAAATTCGCAAAATTTAAAGGTAGAGACTTAATTTTAATTGGCTTTAAAAACTTGAAAGACCAAAATGCATATAATTCATCAAAGATCCGGTCCTACTAGTCCTGGATAAAAATGATAATAAGCATGTTTGTTTCCTTTTTTAAAAATAATTGTCTTTAAAATAAAATAAAATATAAATTTAACAGATGGGCTGAATGGGCTTTTCTCACAGCCCTACCCTGAACCCCACCACCACCACAACCCCCCCCCCCCCGGGGCAAAAAAAAAATCATATTGAAACACAATACTTGCACTTATGGCCATTAAACAAAACTATTGTTACTTTGCAAAAAGAAGAAGAAAAACAAAACTATTGTTACAAATGATTGACAACGCCTTTCTTGTAAGCTTTGTAAAAATGAATATACATATATTTCCTTATCCTTCACAGACAACAAGTCAAAAAATGACAACAGAAATTGAACAGGAACAGGTAACGAAATGAATCTTGAATTTCTTCGAAGCCAAGACAAAGGATTTTTTATCACGATCCTACAATTTTTCTCCCTTTATGTGTGAGCACAAAGAATTTATAGAAAATTGGTTCAAATTCCTTCGGGGTTAATCCCCTTCTTCATCTGCCAACCTCCAATGTAGATAGATCACCACCCAAACGTTTATATCTGATGCAGGCATTGAGGATACTACTTCCGACAACTATAGAAACACTGCTGCAAAAATGAGATCCCACATTTCCATGTATCCTTATTTTAATCCACCTAGTTTCCTTTCACCACAGCCAATCCAAAGGTATGTAAACTTTCTTTGGTGTCTTGAATTTCAAGCCTATTAGTATCAAAGAAAATTTCCGATTATCATACATATTTAAGAAAACAATAGGGCATCTTTGATCCCCCTGCCCCCTCTTCTGTTTTATACGAACATTAGAAAACTTCATTTGATACTCATTACTGAAGCGTTAAGGAGCATGTAAAAAGCACCTCAGCACCCAGACACTACATATGTAATTATGCTTTCCCAAAATTCTCCACAAACCCTTTACATAGCAAATAGAGACTTACCATTGAATGGGGAATCTGAAGCAGAATAAGTGAGATGCAATACAAAGAAATGGAAATGGAAATCCCAGTAATAAAATTATGCAGCAGCCGTCGATTGTCTTTTGTAGGTATGAACACTGTCTTTAGTGTATTTGTTAGATCAAAAAGTCGATGAGATACCTGCAAACCATGTCAAGATAGCAGTGCATACATAAAATGCAACTTAGGATGATGCCTTTCATGAGACTTGAATATGAATAAGAAAAATTCAAAATAAAAAAAAGGAAAGAAGAAAGATCCTTACCAAGACGTATATAGCAGTTGTAAGCATGAAATTAAGCATAGGAAACTCTGGGATAAGAGAAAGAAGCCACTTGGGCTGTCCATTTGGCATGTTAGACCTGTATGTGAAGTGGAATTCATCGTGTACACACACACTCGAGTTAAAATTCATTCACAAGTTTCATTTCATTATAATTTTTTCAAAGGTTTTTCTTGATCCAAGATGTGAAGATTTATACAAACACCAAAGGCACAAAACAACTAAGCAATAAAACAACATCCATACTTAGAAGTTTTTCTATACGAGCCAAATCCAGTCTCTCAAACCATGATCGACACAGAAACCAAATCATCAACAAATCAAAGGAAATTAGCTGTGCACTATAGTCTAATGAGTTAGGTCATCGCTTAACATCATAATATTTCCAATTCATGGATCTTTAGCATTGAAAATACGAAATAAATGAATATTGTGCATGATACATCCTTCATTTGAGCATATAAAAGGATTTGGGCACATATCTCATCAGATTAGAACCTTTTTAGAATTGTCAATTACTGTATATTTGCATCATGCAGCCCTCTTAATTTATTGCACAACGTATTAGCATGGGGAGAATGGTCAGTATGCATACACACCTTAACCAAATATGAAACTGTGAAATGTACGTCTCCAAAGTAATCTTGCCAAGCCACCTGATAATGCATGCAAAAAATGGGGAAAATTAAGAAGCAAAAGTAGAAGAAATTTAGGAGTAACCGGATAAAAATAAAATGTGCCAAAGCCTATTAACATGAAATTTCAATTATTAAGGTAAAGAACACATACGCAAAGAGGGTCAAAGAGTAATTTCGAAGCCGCTGACTGCAATTCCTCAAGCAAATGTATACACTGAAAATTAATCATAATAAAAGGATCAGTAAAAGGAGCAGAGAATAAAACATATAAACAAAATCCATATTACTTTTGGATTGCTGGTTTTCAAACTTAAACAGAGGAAACAAAGAAAACACAAAGAACAACAAAAAGTAAAAGAGAAATAGATAACACCCACGTAATTGGAATCCACGAGGTGTAGGGGTGGAGTTTGTTGTATGAGACCTTGTCCAGCTTGTATATGTATTCATACCACAAGTAACCAACCTAGAAAAGAGAGATGAAAATGAGATGTTCTGGCTTACCCTTTCTGGTTTACATCAAAGAAAAAATGATGACATAAAAAGAAAAGAGGAAACCATGAACAATCTTAGCAAATAGCCTGATCATAAGATAGGTAACTCACAAATACGGAAATTGAAACAATGCTGGTTTTGATTGTTACTCTCCTCCTGGTTTCACACTCTTCCAATTTTTCCATCCATTTCTCAACCTGAGATATTAAAATATTCAAATATAAAATAGCTGGACTGGATATTATCAAAAGTGTAACCACCACACAAGCTAGTATTTGAGATTACATTTGGATGAAAGTAGGCATAAATCATTCCAATTATCCAGATGTAGCGATCAAGCCCAGATCTGAAATGCCACTCATGCATTCGAGGGAGATCAGGCTTTGCAGGGTCGGTATAACCTGCAACATAAATATTACTGTTATGCATTTGCATTTTGCAGTAAACAGAACAAAAGCTTATATTAGCAAATCAACTTGAAACTTGAAAATACACAACATATAAAAGCATGCACTAAGAGAGAGAGAGAGAGAGATAAAGAGTATCAACAGATTTTTATTTTTTTTTATACATTAGAGTATTATCTACTACATAAATATATATTACTGTCATCTTGGCAATAACATTTTTTATCAAGTTGACGATAATTACAATTAACAAGAGGAGGGGCGGAGGGGGCCCTCCCCAATTTGAGAGACAATAAACCATTCAATCCAAAGCCAACAATTATGAGGAGCCAGGGGTAAAAAAAACACGTTCAAGCCTGGGACTCAGCCAAGTGAAACAAGATGGCGAGCTCAGTTATGATGACTTGGTAAGAAAAGTCACAACAAAATGAACAAAACCAAAGTCAAGCTAATAACAGAGAAGTACAGGTTACAAATATTACTTACCCAAAAAGAAAGCAAATGGGCTCCAAAATATATCAAAGAATCCAGGGATTTCCCAAATCAAGATCACCACCAGAAAGCAAGCCAGAATTTTTGCAGCTATCACAGAGCTATTTTCATTATACTTGTTGTATATACCCAATGCTCCATATACCATCAAAGTGAAAAGTGTGTGCATTGGACATATATAATAGAGCATATAGTCATTGTTAAGCACAATACAACAAAAGGCCACAAAAAAATTAAGCCGCCACATCATCTGCATGGAATTATAATGAGTTAGACATATTGTTTATTGAAAAGAGTTACAGAATAAAAATGGATAATGAGCATCACCAAAAAAAAAAAAAAAGTAAAATAAAAATGGTATTTAAGGTCAAGGATTTTACATCACCTGAGCAAAACGTGCAAGGCTAAAATCTTTTCTGACATAATAATAGGAAAAGTTGCCAAATCCAGTCATCCAAACATATGCAGCAATAAAAACACGTATTGCATTGTATATCTCCGTTGCAGCAAAATAATGATACATTAAAAAGAGGACCTGAGCAAATGGAACAAAAACATGAATAGTTAGAAGTACCTGACAAATTTAAAACCATAAAAAGGTACTTTTTGATGAATTATGGCTTAATGAAAGTAATATACATGAATATTACCTAGAGAATTAGAGTTACATGAAATTAAATTTCATTTCAATAACTACAAGACGTAATTACCATCACAATCACATATCATCAAATAGCCACAGTTTCTTCTAGACACTACTAAGAGATAAGTTATAATCCATGTAGTAGAAAATTAACAAAAAAGATGAGACAGCCAATTGAAACATATAATTTTTCACAGAAGTAGGGAAGTTGCAGCAGGTATAATATTGTTAGTTCCAAAATAAAATATGAATGATAAAAAAGAATATCATTTTAGAGGCAAGCAGAAAATATAGCATCTTTATTTACAAGTGTTTGGCATCAGCCAAAAAGGAGTGCTCACCTGCATCCATCCTTTCCATTCCTCTGTTTGATGCCGATTAAGGTAAAGTATGCTTTTTCCAGAAAATGTTGATGAGTCATTGTGTTTCTTCAAAGAAGTCATGGCTGAAACTATAATCAGAAGAAGGAAGAGGAAGAGGAAAAGATCCCGACTATAATTCTGCAAAAAAAAGAATGAATGAACATGCAAGTAAAAAAAAAGTTATCACAAATGGCAATAGCTTGAATTACATAATGATTCAAATATACAGTAAACTACTGCAGAATTGAACATGTCTTTAGATCCAGAAGAAATTATGTATTCCCAAATCAAGCCTGTATAGCCTGATAGCATTGATTGAACAAAAAGTCATTGCATAAAAGTGCTTTGGGATATGAAGTCATGAATTGTGAACTAGGCTAAGTGTAAAACACCACAAGCAAAGCGTGCTACAAGATATGATTTCCCAAGCCAAGCCTCTGTCACAGAATAAATCTCACCTAGCCTGAAGAAAAAGCACTGATAGAGTGGAGGAAAAAAAAACTGGTGCATGAAAGTGTATTGGGCTAAGAAAGATAGAAGCATTAATAACAAGAAAAAGCACTGATATAGTTAATTTGCAGGCATTCATAGCCACACATCACAAACCGAATATGATTTACACATAAACATTCAAAAGAAAGATAGAAGCATTAATAACAAGAAAATGTGTAAAAGGCTAAAAGCTATAAAGCAAACAATTATCAAGATGCAAACTAAAACTGAGGATGTCATAGAAGAAAAGGTTCCTTAAACTATTATCACACAACAATATTTAAAGTTGCAGCTCAAACAAAAACATGCAGAAACATGATAAGTGGTATACAAGTACCTTGGTGGAATCTCCAAGTATGTTGGTCCGATCACATATGTAGAAATAAAACAGAATCAGCCCAAATTCAGACCTAAAAAAATTGTAAAATGTAAATACGTTTTCAAAATTCAGACAAAGTGGAACAAATTATATTTGAGTCATTCACAAAACAATAACATACAATGCCCTCAATATTGCCCGATTTTCCAGCAAGAAAGAGTCATCCATGGTCAAAAACCTACACAGGACAAGTAAAAAGGTAAGGATCTTCAAAGATAAAAGTAGAAATCAGAAAGAAGCACATGACACTGTATATTGTAGAAAATGACCGAATCAAATTCAATTTGACAGATGACGAATGGAATTTTGCCGATGCTGATCTGGTAAGTCCTGATTCCAGCAAAATGGCCCTATCATCTTCCTTGATTGCATCCTTCCCCAACTCGTCAAGACTAGTATCTGAATGACTGCAGTCCACAAAGAGAGTTTATCAAGAATCAGAAATATTTGCAGAAAAATATTTTATACTTTCCATCTGTAAAACCTTTAGAGCGGGAAATTCAGTTTTAAAAATAGCATGTTCAAAAAACAAAAGTACATTGGTGATCAATGAAAAAAATGATAAGATAAATCCAATTTAGTTGTTTACATAAAAACTTCACATTGATCAAAGATGTAACCATACCATCTATATTAGTAGATGTTTATGTTGAAAATACAAATTTCCAATACCAAATTCTCAATAGCAACTTTGATTGCATGACACAAGCAGTTGAATGCCCACATGTGACATGAAGTGTTCATGTTTGCATCACAAACACTACTTGGGATACAAAGTCCAAAACAGTTCAAAGTTTTAGAGGCAGCATCTAATTAATTAATTATTAAATCTTGATATCCATTCTTGCTAAATATAAAATTTGGAAGGTATCCATTCACTAATTTACATACTAGTACGTGTCCAAAATAAAGGCCCAAGTGCAGTTTCAGATCTTCAAGTATTTTGGGAGTCGTAAACTTGATAATTGAACTGCTGATACATGATTTCCAGACCACCATTGATCCCCATTCCCCAAATATTTTCATAATACCTATTTTAAAGATTTTCCCTTCACCAATGCATTTTACATTATTGTTGTAATACCATCAAGTGTCCCCACAAGATTTCTATGAATATCATAGCTAACTTTTGTATCATGATCACCCTTTTCAACTACGTGTATCCAAACACATGAAGAAATGGTCAAATAGAAAAGAGGACACTTATTCTTCACATATATATTACACCAATAAAATTTAACACGAAATAAAACCCAAGCAGTTAAAGTCAGTATAAATTGCTTTCTTATGACAGGGAAAGAAACCTACACTTTGGGAGGAGATGAGGTTTTCTTGTACTCTAAGTACTCTGAATATATCCATGAAACAAAAACTGGAATAATTCCCAGCAAGAAAGACACCTGAAGACATAAAGCAATGCTCCATCAGAAAAATGGGTCAAACATTTGCATAAATATTCTAACTCACGTCATTAATCAAAAGCAGGAAAAGAAGCTCATACCAGTACAATATAACAGAATCAAGTTCATTAATCACAAATGCATTCTCCAACGAACATCATTAAAACGAATAAAAGCTTTATATTTAATTTCCTTACACTCCACGTCAGCATCCTCAAATTTTAGTGAAAGCAGCGAAGTTGCTTGCACATAATATATTTCCACATATTACACAGTCATTTAGGTTTAAGTCGAAAACGATTTTTAGCACACTGCTTCAGATCACAAAAACAAACACCCACCCAACATCCATAGCGAACCATTACCATTACCCACGACAGATTTAGCCACTCAACTTCCACAATTGCACATTCCAACTTGAAAAACGAATTTCCACTACATTTCACACCATCCACATTGAAAAACCCCGAAAATCGTTAAGGATCAGATGCAAGCAATATAACGCGAAAGCAGATCGAGAAAATCACACCTTAGAACTACCACACACAAACTTAAACCCATTCAGCAGTCACCGCAAACACGCAGTTTCGGATTTTATACCACCGAATCAAACAATTACAGTAACCACACACCTGCCCCGGCGTAATTGGCCCCGAAACAACCATCTCCGATCCCATAAAACCGCTCCAATCTGCAAAAAAACTGATCTCAATCAGCGAAGAAGCATCGCATTGGAATCGAGGATTCGAAATCGTAACAGTGTACCAGATAGGAAGAAATGGATGCACCTGATTTGGGGAGGGAAGCGTGTCAGAGAGTGATCATAAATAGCAGAGAGAGAAACCCTAGAGAGAAAGAGATCTGAAACGAAGAGTTTGCTTGAAGAATAGAGAAAATGTCGGAGGGGATGTCTCTCTCTCAAGTGGTTGAAGACTTAGGAACTTGGAAGAAGCTTTTTCCGCTTTGAAATGAGACAGATGAAGAATGAGTGAATGAATGGGTTTGTGACAACGTTTTGTGTGTCTTACATAAATGTTTGTTGACACTTGCTTTTCTTCTTTTGCTTCAATTAAAATGCACAATTAACTAACACTAAATTAATTATTTCACAGTCCAACTACTAATCTTCTATCTGCTTCTGATTATTAGTGTTTAATTCATATTTAATTGAGGCATTATTGGATCCCTTCTTTTCTTCTCGGATTCAATCTATCATCAGTTTTTATTTTTTAATTCTGTCATTAATAATATAAAAAATACTTAATTATATTTTTATCCTTTATTTTAAGATATATACAAGAGCGGCCTAAAATCCAAGCAAGTAAGTTAAAGGCTTTAGGTCTCAAAATTTTTTTTGTTTTATTATACTTTTAAAAAAATTAAAAAAATTAAATTTAAAAATAGCTTTTAATTTAAATATTTTAAATAATTATTAATTTTTATTGATATTATAAATAATATTTAATGAGTTATAACTCTTAATTAATAGATAATAAACGTTTTTTAATTTATTTTTTAAAAATATAATTGAATAGCAAAGAAAAAAATATTGAACAGTTTTTTACTTTTTATTTAATTACTACTTCTTTCTTCTTCATTTCTCTAACTACTCTCTTCTTGTTTAATTTTACTTTAATTTGTATATTTTTACTAACAACAACCTTGGGGTAGAAGTGGAAGAGGAAGCAAAGTCATCTATTTTTTTAGCCCATAAACATTGGTACGAAGCCTTCCATTTTCTCAACGCAGAGGCACTAGTATAAGAGTCTTTTTTTCACTACTCAACCTCCATTACTCACACCTATCAAACAATATTTCGCAGTTTCTTTACAAAACTGTCACTTTTGGAAGCATAGAGATTACAAGTGTCAAGTTTATTTTCTTGATAATCAGGTTTCATTGTTTTTATTTGGTCTTATTTTAAATAAAATTATAATAATTTTAAAAAAATTATTTTATTAATAAAAAAGTCTCATTTTTAAATTTGTTTTAGACCTTAAAAGCTTTTGAGCCGCCCCTGGATATATATATAATTTTAGTTTCTTTATTTTAATTATTTAATTTTTTTATAACCCCAAATTTTTATACTTTTATTGTATTTTATACAATTTATTTTGATATTTTTAGTTTTAGTTTTATTTTTATTTATTTATATAAATCAATAAAATATCATAATTTTTATTATATTTTTATTAATTATTTGATAAAATTTTAGAATAAAACAATTAATTTGAATATTAAAAAAAATAACTATGAAAAAATAAACTAAAATGATTAAAATCATGCATATATTAAAATATAAAAACCAAAATTACAATTAAGCAATTATCATCAAGTACCAACTCAATAATATTATTTGTGTATACAAAAATTATATCTTCTTCGCGTTATTTAATTTAGACAAAATTATTAATTTAAGTCTTTATAATATATTTTAAATATTTATAAATAAAAAATTTATTAAAAATATATTAATAATATAAAAATTTAATAATATTGTATTTTATATTATTATTTTTAATTTTAAAAGTGAAAATACTGTATTAAAATATTTTTATAATTTAATTATAAAATAAATATATATAAAAATAGTGACAATAACATTTAAAGTAATTAATAATTTGTTTTACATTTACCAAAGTTCTTAAGCTTTAGTGTACTATTAATATTTTGTTTTTAATAACTTTTTTCAACTAAACACGTGCCTTAATAAGATATATTCGCATATTACATTTAATAAAACTTATCTAAACATGAAAGGAGAATATTAATGTACTTTTTGTTATTAGGCAATAATTCATGTAACTTTTTTAGAATTTAAATTATTAATATAATATGATCGTGAAAAGAAATATATGAGTTTTATCAAATAATATGACTTGGTTGTTGGATTTATTAATTAAATTTTTTAATTTGTATTTCAAGAAGCATATTAAGAAATTAAAAATATAATTTTTTTTTTTAAAAAAATTTGTTTATAATATATTTTTGTCATATTATTATTAGTTTTTACCATTACCAAAAAAAAAAAGTCTTGTTATAAAAGAAGCGAGACTTAAGAAATACTAATACATGCAATAATTAGACTACTTGAAAAAATATATTGCATTGCCAAACTTTTTCAAATTAATGATAAAATATCTTTTCAAAAACTTAAATAATAAAGTTTTTTACCTATTAACCATCGGAAAGTCTTTGTTTACCGATAAATGAATAAAGTTAGAAATTTAAAAGAGATGTCTATCTTTTTCCAAAGAAAAGTTGAAGATGACCTAGTTTGTGAATATTGATTGAAAGATTTTTTTAATTAAATAAATAATAATGAATGGTATAAAATTGACAACACAAGTTATATAAGTTGAAGAACAAATTAGTAATTTGTCACCTTCTCTTTATCCATCATCAACCTTAACTCCTCCATTAAAGTTAGCAACTAAAGAACAATCAAAATTTATATTAAAAATTTTGACTTAATGAGCACATGGATCAAATATGGTGAGAACAACAAAAAGGTTATGTGTGTAAGACTCATACTCAAATATGAAGCTCAAAAATCTTATTTTGAAGGTTGATCTTGATATAGGTATGTAGGTTACTGATTTCATATATGTGGGGTTTTCTAAACCTACTAAAGGTAGCACAAAGGTTCATAATGTTGAATGGTGGAGTTTTAACTCCATTGATTCCTTGTTAGCAATATTTTTAGCTTCTTCTGTTGAGAAAAGGAGAGTAAGTCTTCATGCACAGTGGGCTATGCAAGAAAAGTGTGGGAGTAGTTGTTGGGATTGTAATTGCTTATACTTTTGTCTTGCTTTCATAAATTGTGTATTTATATTTTTACCATTTATTAAAATATGGTATGATTCTAATCACAACAATGTAAGGTTGCACTTAAAATGTGCACTATTTCATGGTTAAATCGTAGTCATTTATTTTTCTTATATCAAATTAATAATCATAAACATTTGGAGAAGTCATCTTGCACCTTTCTTGAAAAGATATGGAGGATGACCATATCAAATAAGAAAGTCATTTTAGTAGTGCTTCTGACCATGAGAAGAAAATTTAATGGTGTAATATTTAAAAAAGAAAACATTGCACTGGCAAGACTTAAGAGAACTTGACATGTGTTAGGATTTTTTAAGTTTTGCACTTCTAATGGTGAATTTTTTTATTTTTTTAAATAGGTATTATTATTCGTAATAAATACTCTAAATAGAAATTTAAAATATTTAATAAAATATATTTAATATTATGTAATTTATATAACATAAAACAATTTAAAATATTTTTAAAAAAATTGTGCTGCGAAATAAATGTTATGCATCATAAACAAGCTGAGTGTTTGGCAGACAGTTATGCATCTTGATATGACCAGAATGGCCATGAAGTAGGAACTTATCCAATCATTAGACTCTTTTACACAGTTTTGACCCTCCTTATAATATTTTCAAGGGGGTAATCCATTTAATTATTACTACGATAGATGGATTAATTACTTAATACCAAAATATGTTAATTATATTTTGAAAATTTTATTTTAAAATATTTTGTTCCTCACCTTCATAGTTAAAAGTTGCTTCAATTTTAGAAGTAATTTATAAAACATTGCGAATTAGAAATTAAGAAGTTGTTTGAAAAATATATTTCTTTTACAATTTTAATGCCATGATATGTTCTCTCTACGTCCAACCCAAAACATGGGATCGTTGACCATTGACCAAGCCCACAATGCCAGAACAAAAATAAACGGAGTTTAAGGTAAGCCGTTATCTGGTCTACAAATGTCCGGATTTATGTATTTGATTCAACCATCTTATCATAACCAAAAACACTGAAAGATACAACCTTCTTACTGTTTGTTTCAATCATTTTGAACAATCGTGTAAGCTCTTGTGTGTGAAGAAATTGGCCCAAGCTTCTAATCACCGTTACTTTTGTTGATAATTCATTATACCAAATTTCTTGAAAATATTTGTACTGGATAAAGATCAACTCGATGTACTTATTTGGCATAATAGGCCGAATACCCTTTGTGAGGATTAAAAGATAATTAATCCAATTAAGGATAATAATTAAAATATTATTTATTTTAAATAAAGGGCTAAAATGAAGACTGGCTCGATAGGTCCATTGGCCCATTACAGTGCCTATATAAGGAAAGTAAAAGTTCAGATAAAATGTTGACTTTTCATTATTAAATAGCATTTATTACTCAGAACCTGACTTCAGTATCGGAGTGCATTTTGCAGGTATCCTCCCACGTCAGTAACGGTTAGAGAAATGTCAGCACGTCAGAACAGAGACTTGAAGACTCGTGTTACCTTAACAGGAACAACATTCAAAATCAATTATTGGAAGTGGAAAAAACATTGAGTTTCTTAACCCATTGCATACGATAAATAATAATTTTATAATATAGTTTCACAATTAAAGTTTTTGAGTGACACAATTGGTTGCTTGTAGAAAAAATGATTGTATAAAAATCGGTAGGATAAAAAAGCACCTAATTTTATAGGAAAAAAAAAAAAACCCCTTCACCACCCTCATAGGACTCATCACAACAATGAACCACCTCCACCCACCCTTGAAACCTCCATTAGCCACTACATGAGAACACTATAGACAGTCACCGAGACACTAATACCTCCATTATAATCAGCACAACAAACCAAGTCAATCCACACACCCCTCAAAACCCCATTAGCTGCTACCCAAAAAAAACTACATATAGGTGAGGGGAGGAAGAAAAGAAAATAAGGGAGAGAGATTCAATGGGAGGGAGAGGTAGAAGAAGAGAGAAAAGAGACCAGATAAGAACAAGGTGAAATAAACTATCTTAAAGATTCTTGACCCAACTTGCACTGATAGAGAGCTTTAGTTGCTTAGAATAGAAAAATGATATACCATAATGAAACTAAATAATTACTTTAAGTAGCTGGTGGAAATTGTATCAAATTGTACTATGTTATACAATAAATGAAAATGTAATATAAATTTATTATAGAATGAGATTATAATATTTTAAAACAATGAAGAAAAATAGTCTAAGTTTTTGTTTTTTTTTTTTTAAATAACATATGATTAATCCTTTCATAAATGTTCAAATTGGGTACCCAATGGGAGGAAGGTAAATATATTTAGTTATGGATTTAAAATCTTGAACAAAAACTTGTTTTTTGTGAATAGCAAACCGTATATTGTAATTCCAAAATGAAAACTAAGCACACTAAAAGCTTATTTGACTTGGATTAAAATTTAATAAGCGTAGTGGATTGTGTTATTTATATATGAGCACTTCTTGGTGTGTTGTTATTTTCACTCTAATAACTGGGTAGGTAGGTAGCATTCATTTACGAAGCAACGAGTAGTTTGGGTGAATAATAGAGTATTTAGAATCGTGTAATTCCCGCAATGATATTGATATATCAAAGATTCTATTTATTATAAGATTTGTGACGAGTAAATACTCATTCATAATTTATAATATATAAAATGATATATTTCATTTAATGTATATTTAAGTGAACATTTATAAATTTAAATTTAAACAAATTTAATTTTTAAAAATGATTTTACTTAAAAGTAAAGTAATTAATATTTTTAAAAAATGTGCTTAAATATAAGTTTATAGTAAAACTCAATATAAAATTTTTAGTTTACTACAGAAGTTATAATTTATCATATTTACGTTAAAACAATGTGCTTAAATGCAAATTTACAGTAAAATTCAATATAAATGTTTCAGCTTAATATAAAAAGTATATATAACTTATCATGTTGACTCATATATAAATTTAGAGATAAAATTAATTTTCAAAGATTTAGACACAATTTTCAAACTATGTTTATACGATCAAAATTGAAATCAGAGCCTTCAATCAAGCATGCCTTCATTTAAAAATTATTAATTAAATACTTTAAAACTATACATATTTCTAAAATATAATATAAAATTATTAAAATTATTTTAATAAAGTATTTATTTATTATAAAAAGAACCAATTACCAACAACGTGGCTGATTTTTGAGATTTTTTTTTCTATAATTATCTAGTATGTGTTTAAAAACTAATTAAAATCAAATTAAGATAGATTTGCATTTAAATAAACTTAACGCTTATCCAAAACTCAAACGCTGATGATATAATGGAAAAGAAGAAAGAGAAGAACAGAAAAAACAAGACAATATATGAGTGATGTTGGACTACGTAGTGGGGTTTGGTTCATGAACCCATCAAATGCAAAAGCAAAGCAACAGGGAATAAATGGAAAAAAGTTAAACAATTTTAGCAAAAAAAAGTAATGCAGATAATACCATTAATTTTTTGGGACTAATTTGCAGATTACGATTTACCTAGTTATCTATCAATAAAGTCACGGGTCATCAATCTATGTTATTAGTTTTTCTTTTTTGTTAATATTCAACCATTGAAAACTCACGGAGCATCCATGTTTAAGTTTCAAAACAGTTGATGAACACTTTTTTTTTTTTATGTTTTATTATTTACTAATATACTTCATAGGGTTTAATCGTTTTTCTCTAGAATGAAGGTGTACATTTTAAAAGATAAAATATAAATAATCATTAATTAAAATTTCAACTTTTGAAATTGCAAATAATTAAACATAAAAAGAGGTATAGTGAACATTTTCCAAAAATTAATTATATTTTGTTTTTGTTTTCGTCACAAGTTGTAAATGAGGGTCTCTGGGCTCAATAAGAAGCTACACTTGAAAGGGCTAGTCAAACACCTTCTTGTCTAATGGTTCACTAATCTCTGTATCCTCATTATTTTTACCCAAAAGAAAAGGTATCCTCTTTACTAGTTAGTAGCTTAAAATTATAATGTTATGGACCAAAAGACAAATGCTTAATGGGCCCAAGAATTTTAGATTATAATACGTAACCCAACTAATTTATACATTAATTATTTCGAAATGATTATTCTTCAATAATTCATACGATATTTTCTACAACATTATTTTCACAAGTATAGGAAAGTCATATCATCAGCTGGTCCAATTAATTTTGGAGCCTTTTGTAATCAAACTCTGGCGTACCACCAGAAGTTAGATTTCAATGAATATTGGGACTGTAAGTAATGATTATTTTAATTTCTAACTTTATAAAATGATTACTTTAACTGTTAATTGAGTAAAATGTTATTCATTTTTTATGACAATAAAAAATATAGTTATAAATAACTTAAGTAAATAATATTTTATAAAATTAGAGGCTAAACAAGTGTTTTATAAAATAAAGGACAAATTAAAAGTGAGAAATATTTATCATATCTAGAATCAATATAGAGGTATATTATGATTCACTTAAATTGTCCTAGGCCCCTTAAAATAACTTTAGTGGAAGATACTTAAAGATAAGTAACTATTACATATTAAGCTGTATGATAAAAATATTTAATTTCTATGTACTGTGAGTGTAAATTTTCTTTTATCTAGTCAACCAACAATTAGATTAATATATCATGTATATGATTTTTGTATTAATTATTTATAAATAAATAAATTCTATTGATATGACAATTTTATTATCAGATATTTTTTTATACTATTAGTATGTTTAGATTTAATTAAAATTGTTAATGTGAAAGAGAAGGTTGCATTAAAAAGACAGAATTATCTGTACAAGAAATTGTTACGTGTCAAAAAATAAAATCCCCACGAAAAGAAAATATGAATCATCTTCTCTAGCTAGTTACAAAGATAAATATTCTCTTGTACAAAATATCGGTATTATTAGTCATATATAATCCTTTTTCAAGTCCAACTTAATTTTTTAATAAAAATATAAATTGTAATATAATTTAAAGGGATATTTGGATACTTAAATTACATTGGGGGCTTCAAAATTCATTTTTAAAATTTTACTATTTAAATTGATGTGATTTTTAATAAATTAATTATATTATGCATAAAAATAGTTTGTTGTATTAATTTATAATTATAAGTAATATAAACATCACAAAATTTTAACTATATAAACATAATAAATAAATAAATAAGATCATAAAGACTGAACAGGTTTTTTGCCCCCTTAAATCTAGTTAGCACTTGTTTAAATAACCACGTCTATAAACTCAAGCTTCATCATCTCACTTCCTTTCTTCCTTTATTACGGCCTAGTTTACACCTTGCCGGCAATTTATCGACCATGAAATTTCTCGCTGATCGTCCTAAATTATTCCAATTAAGATTCATGTCCAGAAGATAATGAATCATTTAAAACTCTCATTTATCAGAGTTGTTCAATATTAATAATATTCCAAATGAATAAGTTTTAAGGTCCATCAGTTATGGAATACAATTCTATCACGTGAAAGTTTCTAAGCTATGACTCTGAATTTAGATAAATTCTACCTTTATACACTTTCCAGTTAACTTTCATACTGAGATATCGAGAGATCATGTTCTGTTGAACACGGGAAACAAAATATCGAGGGAACTTTCCTTGTCACAAAATTTAGCAGCTTTGTTTTACTTTGACAATTATAGTTAGGCAAGTGCGAAAATTAGTTCAAGGTCAGCAGTTTTTTTTTGGCTTTATTTTTAAGGGAAAGCAATGCCAATTGTTATATATATATATATATATATATATATATAGGTTTTGCTGGTATTCCTCAAATCTTTGACTATGAGAATACTTATCCGTCGTCGGTTAAATTTACTGGAGATATAATATAAAATTATTCATATATTTTCATGGCTCTCTTAACTCGAGCTCTTCATTTTTAAAAATAATAATATAAAAAAAATTTCAGCATAATATAGGTGAGTTCATATACATTATTCATACCTTAGGTTGGGAAGGGTATTTTTGAGATATAGATAGTCTCACAAGTCTTCATCAAATAGTTTTAAAATTATTGAAATTGTTGGTTTATTATAAAAAAAACAAATTTAAGCACTTAACCTTTAATTTTTCTGTACATGCACCTGGTGCCCAAGAATGCTTACGATCAAATCTACGTGGGTGTCTACAAATATGTCTGCTTGATGAGGTAAAGCAAATAATTCAACATATATATCTACAAGTTCTTGAATTAATATACCCAGAATTTAAGTTTAAGGACACAAAATAGAGTAACAATTTCCTCCAACCCATCAAGTAACATTTCAATCAGATCAATAACGTTACATTCTTCATTGGATGTGAAAATCCGAAATGGGCTGCATGCATACACAACCGATATGCATAAAAAAAAAGTCTTGTTTCTGACAAGTACTTAATTTAACTCTCTGCCTAAACACGTACCCCATAGTTTTTCTTTAAAACAGTGATCTCCACCCACTATTGCAGATGTCAAGCTAACCCACTTCGAAATAAAGCATCTGAAGCAGGCTAGACTATATGATGAGTCAGAATTACATAACTAAATAAAGCTATCTCCAAATTAACTATATATACAAAAAGGATCATAAACGAGACCAAGGATCAATATATATATGTAGACATATATTATATATTTATCTATATATAGCAAGAGAGAGAGAGAGTACATGCATCGATCTGAATTAATTCTGGTGGGTCTTGTTGAGGAACATGGAAGGGACTATGTCTTGAAGGAGGCCATATTCAGGAGGAAGTTGATGGTGATGATACGGGTGGTGAAGAAGAGAGTTGTTAATGTTGTGCGATGAGTAAATGGAAGCAGCAGCATTAGCATTAGCACTAGTGGTAGTGTTTGTTTGCTGTGTGGTGAAGAGGGTGTTGTGGTGGTGATGATGGATCTGAAAGAAGAGATCTTGGGGGAAGTTTGACCCAACTGCAGCTGCTGTGAGTGGAGTTGGTGTGGTTAGCAAAGGTGGTGTGAACATTCCCGCAGCCGCATTCCCTCTAAGAGATGTGGGGACCGGATGATTGTGCTGACCTTCATACGTTGTTATCACAGTGGTTGGGTCTTGAAATGACCTCTCTACGCGTTTCTTCACTGTGCACTTCTGGGTAGTGCACCTGTAGTAGCTCCTGCAATTAACCATTATTAAATAATCCTTGTCATTAATTTTCATTTCGGCTACTATTTCAATTGCTAGAGAATTAAGCCATTGTTTAAAGAGATAATAATGGGGTCTAGAGTACTAGCTGGAAGGTTTGAATGACTTTGATTCATTTTCCTTTTGTTTTTACTAGGATCAATCAGGTGGAATAATGTCTTTGCTTTGCACTTGGGAGTAATACTAATTAACTAGTGAGTCTTTGGAAACAGATTCATCTGAATATAGAGATCTTCGTTTGATGAAATTAACTAACACCGATCCCCGTAAAGCAGTAAAGGGAGTTCGTGTATGAATAGTTTTATGTGCAAGTTTTGAATTAGATAAAGTGCTGGACATTCATCTTAATTGGGTGCAAAGAAAGGAGGAAAGCGTGTTTTATACCTTGGATAAGGGCTATTCTTGACAGCTTTCTGTCCATATTTTCTCCATCTGTACCCATCTTCTAGGTGATCAACCTCACTCTTAGTCATGAAAGCAAACCTTGGTTCCTTCTGCTTCTTCTCTTTCTTCTTGTCCTTGTTCCTGTTAATTTATCCAAAACAGATTCTAAGTTGCACCATTTAAGCCAAAATAGGGAAAAAAAAATTCATGGGTTTGGCTCAGCTGAAGATGTGAAAAGAACACTTACCCTTTCTTAGAGTTCTCTCCTCCTTCTTCTGCTTTCACCTGCCTATCTTTCTTACTCTTTCCTGAATCTTCTTCAGCCCCAGCTTCAGAGGATGAAGAAGAGATAGAAGAGTTAAGGGTAGCAAGGGTGTCACTGCCACCACCTACATCTCCTTCTGCCGGTTTTTGATTTCCTTCAACAGATGAAAAAACCTCTGATGAGGAAGGAGACAAGCCAAAAGAAGTTGCAAGTGAATTGTAGTCCATGCCTCCTTGCAAACACTCAGTGAAGCTCATATACGATGGATCAAAGGCTTGTGATGAATCAAATGCTGTTGAACCTGAAGGAACTAAGGAAGAAAAGTGTTTTTCATACATGGTAGATCCTCCTGTGCCCTGTTGCTGATTATGGTCTAGGACAAGGTCCTGGTAGTAAAGTTCTTTAGGTTCAACAGACATGAAGGAAAAAAAAAAGGAGGAGATGAAGGAGAAGCAGAAGAAAAGTAGCGTGTGAGGTCGCGTATGCTTGGTTGAGACTTAATTTGTAGCTTATCTCTTGAAGTTATTAATGTGTATATATATAAGATAAAAAAAAAGAAATATAAAAAAGTCTTTGGGTTTGAATAGAGAGCTGCTATGGTCACTTTTAAAAGGAGGTTGACAAAATACCTTCCAATCAGAAGACCAGAAAGTGCTTTCTCATATGGAAACATTTTCAGTCCATGTTACTTCCATTAAGGAAACTGATCCATATTAGTTACGGAAATAGGGTGATTGTCACTCCAGCCTCAGGGCCTATAAATTAATCAAAGGTCTATTGTCATGGCTAGAAGATAAATTAACAACAAAAAAATAATACATCTTAGTAATTAATACGGTTCCTTATAATTAACCTCATGACCAAGTCATTAAAATCGATCACTCTCAACCCGGTATTAAATATAATATAAGAATTCTGATCAAGACAAAATATAATATTTGCTAAGTGTATACATATATATAGGTATTATATAAAATTTACTCATATGTAATCTCAATTAATATCTGGCAGAATCTTTAGCCCTTTGAACCTCAAAGAGTTGGTAATAGAAATGTGATTCTTTTTTTAAATTTGCTTGACTGTTCAGTCCAATTTGGAGTCTTCTACAATAGCTTTTCTTTTCAACCCAAAAAAATATTTCTCCATCTTCTCTCCTAATTTGCCGAAATCCATGAAACCACTAATTGTATGTTAAAAAAAAATACAGTCGAATCCAAGGTGCCCTCACCCAGTTTAAAAAATCATGAGCTACTGGTCTGTTTCCATTCTTCAGTCAAATAAAGCATGGTTGACTCAGATATTGTTTTTACGTGATTCTCACCTCTTCTAATTCATTTTATAAACAGTATCCAATAATGTAAAACTTATGCAGTATTGACAAGGAAAATAATTGGTGATGTCCAGCAATTATGTTTGAGACACATAACATTTTAATTAGTAATTTAAATTATTCCATAAAATTAATTTTAAAAAATCATCCTTAAAGTTTGCATTCATTCTCACATCAATAGAACTCACATAATGATATTTGAATACGTGAAAAAAATAATAATATAAAATATTTTACATTAAGAACGTGTAAAGGATAAACTTAAATTAGGTTTGATTAGGTTGCAACGTTCACATATCACAAATTATATACATCACGTGTAAAAAGGAAAGAAAAAAAGGTTTCGCTTAATTTCGCGCGTAGAGATGACGCGGTGGAAGGCGCGCGTGAAATGGCGGTGATTAGTGACTGTGGAAGTCAATGATTCAAACTTTTCGACTTATAAATTAGAAAATACAAACTTTGGTTTGGGAATAATAGAAAGGTCACACGTGTCTGGGACTGGCACCGGCATTTGACCGTAGCCGACACAGTGCTCGGCACGTGGCTTAGACGGTCTCTGGCATTGTCTTGCTGACGTGGTGCCAACGTCATCATCTACAAATTTATGGCCATTGCTACTATTGAGGTTTTGAGATTAACATTATTGCATGGCCATGGCGTGTCTTATTACTTGTTCTCCTTAATTTGGATTTCATCACCCCCTTTTTAGTCCTTTCCCTTTCGCTCTTTTGTTTTTCTTTTTTCAGTACACATACTTTACGTAAAGGCAATCTGTTACTGTGCTTGGTCCATTAATAATAATGAAACTTTTGGCCATGCTAATTAACTATGTGTATATATTTATAAATATATATACACCTTTATTTTGTTTATATGTGAAAAATCATATTGAAAAGCATGTGTTGAGATATAGTTGCAGTGAGTATGGTATATGATATATGTTTGCCATAGATGTCGGAGAAGATAGATAGATATGATAGTGTAGTTTGCTTTGCAAGTTGGCAGTCCAATAATGACGCTCATATGGCCTAAAACGAAGAAAGTCTTAGAAGGTCATAATCTAAGAATATCGCTCATCTTCATCACTAGCTTCAAGCTAATAACTAATACCAACCCTATTTTAATTTCTTTTATATTTTTCTTTGTCCTTACTATTAAAACTTGTAATTTTAATTTAATTCGACCGTTCAGTTTTTCATACACCTAATTAACAATTTAATAGTGATATTAACCTTAGCATCTGATATGTTGCTGCACCCTTTCTTGTTGCTTTTCCTTTGCCTGTGTTTGCTTGTAAATCTCACTGACCCTTATAATAATAATAAATGTGAAGTCTACATCAACTCTTCAAGCAAGTGCTTATGTTACCCAAAAAGGTTAAAGATAATTAATTTAAACAACAAACAATTATGATATAAGAAAATTAAAATAATATTAAAGAGATATGAAATGATTTTTTATTAGAATCGATTTATTAACATTATTAGCATTAGTTTATGAATAAGTTAGATAACGAACCTTATTAGAAAGTTAAAATACACAAGTTTTTCTTTTAACTTATGCAATAATTTTTTTCTTAAAAATATTAAATTAAAAGTCTCTCTAAACTCACTGGTAAGTTAATTCTTGCAAAATTAGGGTGAATCTTCAACCACAATGGTGAAGGGTGCGATTGGTTTCATCTTCTACGTTCTCTAAACTCTGTTTTCACAAATTGATTTTTTTTTTTATAAAGTAATTCTTAAAACATTTTAGTAATATTTTTTATAAAGTATTTTTAATAAATAGAGATGATGAAAATTTAAATTTAAATTAACAAAAGTAAATATTGATAATCGAGTTCAGATAGATTTAATGATTTTAATAATGATAAACTTGTCATATTATAATATTTTTAATTTTTTATAATAGCTTTACTATTTTTTATTGATTTGCATAATTTATTAAAAAATTCTTTAAAAAAATCAAAAAATAATAATTTGTCATATCCACTCAACTAGTTAAAAATTGAGAATTACAAGCACAAAATTTAACTAAATTTTTTTTTACACCGTTAATTAATCATTAACTGTTCTAAAATTAAAAATTATTAACTTTTATAATATATTTTCAAAATTATATGATAATTTTGAATTAATTAAAAGTATATATTTTAATACTAACAATATATTAAAATTACCAAATTACAAACAAATGAAATGTCTCCTCCTAATACAACCACATAATGTTACTAAAGGATACAAATACCAAATTAAATACCCCTTAATTACCAACATTTCTACCTACTTCTTGTTGAATCTATCAATCTTGCAATGGCAACTGCAATGTCTCACCGCTGCCGAGGAATCTTCCTATCAGTGTTTTTGTTGATTTATGTCCCCATTCACAAAAGATAAAAATTCCTAAAAGACAATCTACACAATTCTACAAGTGAAATTTCTAAGATATAAATTAATCTTTTTTTTCTTTTTTAATTAGTCTGCAATTTTATGAAAAGTATCTTATTCTATTTTATCTCTTCTGCTTTATTATTATTATTATTGGAGCCCTTTTTCAACATAAAATACAAAAATTACATGATAAAAGAGAACATGAGATAAAATAATTTTACAAATAATATTAAAACAATAAAAAAAGTTTAGAAATAAAAATTATAGAAAAACTAATTATTTTAATAATCTCATAAGTGTATAATTATATGCTAATGCGGTTCGGTTTTTGTGTAATGTATACAGGCTATTGCATTTTCTCTGAAAAGGTCAATTCTTTAAATGGCAACTGGTAGCCATGGGAAACTGGATTGAAGGGGTATGGTTAGGATTTTAAATGGAGAAAGACCCTTTTTTTTTTCTGTTATGAAAATCTTAATTTGTTTGAAGAACTTCTATATCAGATCAATGTAGTTCCATCAAATCTAAACAAAAGGATGGGTGTGGACACTTGATAACTCTACATATATCACTTGCTGAATCAAAGCAATGCCATGCCTCTAAATTCTTCATTTTTTTTAAAAATAATTTGGTGATGGATCAGCTTATATATGGAAGATATTGGTGTTTGGAGGAATATGATTCAGGACCATTATCTTAATTATATGTATATATGAACCGTGTTTTCTACAACTTGTGCAAAGAGTTATCCTCTCATTTATTTGTCAATATATGTACTCTTCTTTGACTTGGTCCAATTACTATGCTTGGCTAAGTTCATGGACATGTTAAAAAGGATTTAGACAGCACCTTTGTTCATACCACTGTGGTCTATTTGGATTCAGAGGAATGACAAAATTTGGTTTAACATTCATATATATTAAGGCACAGCTCATAGATTTCCATTAATGGATGGTTCTAATACTGCCCGCAAGCTGGATAAAGGCACTCAAGAGAGGATCCAAATCATTACATTGATCTTAAAAATAAGTAAATTTTTTTAAAAAAATTAATTGAAAAAAAAACTGGAAAATTATATATTTTTTAATTCTTATGTGCAAAACCAAACCGGGTTATAAACAGATTAAATTTGTATTTTTATTTTATTTTAATAACATTATAAACCCTAACTTTTAAAAGTTGTTGTATTATTTAATTTATCATGAGCACGCATTTTTATATTTTTAGAAAACTTAAGATAATCTTTATTTGTAATTTAGATTAATGATATAATTTAATAATTTGAACAAGTTATATTTTATATTTATTCTGAATTTGACCTTTTTATTTAATATAAGTATTTTCTCTTAAATAAAAATATTATTCACTGAAAAATTGTATTAATTAATTTTTTTAAATATGATTGAAATGTGTACCTAAACCATATATTTGCATTAATGCGGTTTTTATTGAAAAATATAAAAATAGTTTTCTTACTTTAAAACAAGTAGGAACTTAGATGGATTGAATACATATCATAGCAAAAAATCAACTGATAAAAAAAATTCAATTTAATTTTTCCAATTTTTAATTTTTACAGTTTTATATTAACTTGAGCCAGTTTATGATTTATGAACGTCCCTAATAAAAGAATATTATCATCAATTTTTAAAATTTATTTCAAGCAATTAGAATTGGTAGTATTTTTTTAAAACAAATATTTATTACACTAAAAATATAAAATATGGTCATTATTTGTTAAAATTTTA